AGAATGTTGACGTAAGTATTATGGCGCTAATGTCAAATACCTATCGCTAGTAACCAAATCTGTAGATATATCTGTAGATAGAATATTGAAACAGGCCTTAAATGATATCTTATTAAGAAGAGAAATTACACAAATTGCCGTATAGTTTAAATGCATCAGTTTCGGCGGTTGACTGGAAAAGAATGCTTATTAGCATATTAAGTTTGCCTTTTGTTTAGTCTTAAATTGGGATGTTAAAAATAAATTTTTAAATAAATAAATTAAATCCGAACTTACATCCGTACTAAAATAAATTAGCAATTTGTTTTTTTATACATAATATAAATATACAGCATTGCGTCATTTATTGTCGGACTTCCCTTTTATTCGCTTCTTTGTGAAAACTTACGCTTTCCATATTGTTATTTTAAGTACACAATAAGGTCTCTTAGGACTTACAAAACCTCAGAACAGAAGAAATAGAAAATTTTGTTTGTTGAGATTTGTTTGCAAGGACAACTAACATTTGTGGCAATTAACAGATCAACGTCGTTCTGAAATTCCCCATGCTGCGCAATGGATGTCTCATTTTATAAAAAAGTCCGAGATTTGCAATGAAAATATACAGTACATTTTCGTACTTTATCATTTACATCGTATAGTGCAAATGAATAAAATATAGTACGATACTAAACAGGGTTATTGGCAATTCGTACTCTTTTACTAGGTTACTTGCGCTAGTTTAATACCTAAATGCTTTATGCAAAAGTGAACCATTTTTGAGGTATCATGTTTCTGAGGTATCGTCTTTTTGAAAAATAAGTCAAGAATGCAAAATATAAATTTATTAATAAAAAACGTATCAATTATCCGTCTAAATGTAAAATGCAAGGTGAAACGGCTTGCAGGTGATTTTAAAAATAACCGTTTTCCTAGCTCTTACAATGTATAACAACTAGAAGCTTATTTGAAGGTAACTAAAAAAAAAATATCACAAAGGAAGAAGGCGGAAATTAGTATTGGAACCGAACTTAAAATCTCTGTATGAATATCTTATAAACAGGTTTAATGCCGCAAACTGGCAGGTTAAGAAAAATAAAAAGACGTGTTCAAAGAGTTCTTTATTCAAAAACTTCATGCGAGCATTGGTTTTGTTTTACAAATTGGTATAATTTTATTTAAGTAAATACACTCATGATTTTAGTTCGATAAAAAACAGCTCGTTTCAAAATTACACATGAATAATACGCCAAAACTTGTCAAGATTATTCGCGTTGGTTTCATAATCGCTGGTCATCCCATGTATCAGTGTTTAATGGAGTGTACATGGGGAATCCGAAAAACGGGTACTGGTCAGAGACGATATATTAATGCCGGAAGATACTCAGTAAAAAAGTAAAAAAAAAAAAAAACACCGTCGCTACACGTTACATGTTAAAGCTAAACATAATGGAAAAAAGTTCATAATGCAGGATTCTATCGTTACAATTATACTCTTGTGTAAGTTATTCACGAAGCGAGCCTTGAAAGGAATGGCTTCCTGTAGATTCATGTTAAATGCGGATTTAGAAGACGCGATTGAAAGAAATTCTGTAGACAGACTAATCCAAATTCGATCAAGATGGGATTACTAACTTCCACAATGAACATTATTGGAGTGAGAGAGTGCACAAAAATCTTAATAAAAAGATGCGAAAAGGTTCGCAACGCCGTTTTTCGGTGTGTATGGGAATAATTGATGACAAATTTATCAGACAAAATTTTTTACCGATCAATCTAAATACTAAAAATGGTGCTAATAATCAATTAAAAAATTATACACTGCAAGGAGACAAGATCATTTTCTTATAGTAAACAAAATATCCTCCAAAAAGGCAATTGATAACGGTTTATTAAGTTGGTTTTGGATAAAATAATTAAGAGGTTGGATAAATACCGTGAAGTTGGTCGAAGTTGTACGCTTTGCAACCAACTTCATCATATTGCTTTTTCGCTGGCGGTGTGCGCGCCCATTGTATAAATTTTACTCTCATAATTTTTTTTAACGCGACAAAAGAAGTATAATTTCAAAAATTTTGTGTAACTACTTATGTACACACTTAATAAGTTATACTTTTTTATAGTTGTACTTCTACTCGAGATAAAATAATTATAAATTTTAAACCCAGTCCCAGTACTGTAGTTCATCAATATATACAGTAAGGTGCAAAACTGAGTCAGTATGTTACATTTTTATAAAAAGTAGCATAAAAAATATTGGATTAATTAATTAATAACAAATAAATGATGTCATTAAAAACTAGATTTATTCATTAATTTTATTAAGAAAGTCCGATAGTCTTGAACATACTTTTGGTTTATAATTATCATAAGAAGAATTGGTTCACTTTTGCACCAGTTAAAAAAAAATACTGATTTCATAATTTTAATATTTAGTCCAAAGACCTTTTTATAACAGCACGCAATCTGTTCTCCACACTTTTTACAAGTCTTTCACAATACTCAGGTGGAATTTGGTACCACTGCTCTTGAACACGTTCCCAGAGAACAGTAATGTTCGATGGTGGTGCTTTATATTCATTTAAAAGCATGCTCTTCAAGTATGCCCATAAGTTTTCTATCGGATTGATATCCGGACTCTGAGATGGCCAGGGCAGGACCTGAAACTCTTGTTTACTCAACCAATTTTTTACTATTTTCGATGTGTGCTAATTGAATATTACTTCATTAACAGGGTACGGCATATTTTCAACAACTTCCAACAGATGTGTCTGAAGAATGTTGCGGTACATTTTCCCGTCCATATTTCCTTTGATTTTGTAAATTGGTCCAACGCCATAAGCTGTTAGACAGCCCCACAATTTAATATTGCCACCACCATGCTTCACTGTTTGTATAAAATCTTTTGCTTGGTTCACCGACTTTCTTCCAGTTCCATTTCCGACCATCTGTACTGTATCTATTAATTTTGGTCTCATCTGACCAAATAACTCTCATCCAATCATTCTTAGTCCACTTAAAGTATTCTTTTGCAAATTTATTTCTTACTTTGATATTTTTCTTAGTAAGAAGAGGTTTTTTCTTCTTCTCGATAGCTCGCATATTTGCTTTGTGTAACCCCCGACAAACAGTCCACTTACTCACTGACGTGCCAGTGTCTTGCTTTAAAATTGCTGCCGCTTCAGAAGCTGAAGACGCTTCATTAGATCTTAAATAGTGAATAACTTTTCTTATGTCTCTATCAGATAATTTTTTTGTGCGTCCGCCAACATTAATCGGTATAGGAAATTTACATTTGGTTCTAATTCTTTGTATTGTTGATTGACTTACGTTTAATTCTTGAGCGATATATCTTGTCGATTTCCCATTTTTAAGTAGCTCTTTAATATATTCTATAATATTCTTTGCAATCGGTTTCATGTTTGTATCGAAAAGAGATGTATTAATTTAAACCGTTCACTACGCTGTATCGAATTAACCTGAGCAATAAACAAAGCGGAATCAAATTTCTATACTAATTTCTATCCTGACAAGTTTAAACACGTTTATACTTGAGCGCGAAGACATTTTTTAACACGGTGCAAAAGTGAGTCAATCAATATTAACTATCTCAAAGTTTTAAAGCGTAGATATTGGATAAAAATTGTACGGGTGAAATAATTAGTGGGTTATATTTTCTAATAATAACATATACGATTTCAAAAGCTTTTAACTAGTGTTGATTGATTGATTTGAAAAAAAATGTCAGTGTACTGACTCAGTTTTGCACCTTACTGTATATCCATACTTCATCTCAGTACTCTTAGTGTTGAAAAGACATTAAATGCAACTAATAGCGGTTATAACTAAATAAAAAATCATCGTTAAATGTCAAAAAGTTATAATCGCCATGGTAATACTGAGTAGTTGACCGCTTTGAAAGCAGCTGCATCATGCGTAAAAATTTAAGTCTTATAATTTTTCAAATGCGCCACAAGAAGAATAACTTCTAAAAACAAAGGACAAACAAAATATTAGAAATAGAAGAACAAGTAAAAATTACATTAAATCACACTCATTCTCTAGTTAACTTTGGAAGTTATCTTTGTTGATTTAAATTCTAACTAAATTGCATCGATATAAGAAAATAACTATAGATTGTGAAGTGTCCTCAACATAAAGTATTAATCGCTGTTTACTTAGGAATTGATAATAATCATAGTTTTGGTTAATCTCGAAAATGTGATGCCAATAATATAAATTGACAACTGATTACAAATTAGCGTGAAATTTGTGTTGAACGACTGAGAGAGCCCGGCCACAATATTTTAAAATCAGAAAATAAAGATGCAAAGCCATACACACATGTAATTGTCAAATAGTGTTTTTATTTAAGAAAGATTTAAAAAAATTACGTTAAAAATAGGAAAGTTATTTATATTGATAACATTTCAAATGTCACATTTATCACATTGTTTTACTTCTTTTGAAACCATTAAGTAGTGCCGTTATTAACATAATTATAATTATGACGATAGGTGAATTAACATACAAAAATCTTATATAACAAAAACTAAAAATATCCAAATAACGACAATATGAATTAAAAGAAAATGTTCAAGGAACTTAAATGGGAGTCATTAAAAGTTCATATCATTTTAAGAATTTTGTTACGGCAAAATAAAAGGAAATTTATAAAAAAATTACTATTTTACAAAAAGAGGACAATAATGTACAACTGTCATTGATCAAGTCAACTCTTCGTTTCAATTTTTCTTTTAGGTCATTGAACTTCAGACGAAGATCTTCATCGTTTTTTGAATAATTATTTTCCTTCACTGTAAAATCCACAAGAAATAATAATAAAATAGGGAAAGTAGTACTTTATTGCAAAGTTTGTAATTTTGCTTATAATTATTTCTTTGCATCTGAATATATATATAAGATACGATTATCAATTATTAACGATGGATCAATAATTAAGGTTAATTATGAGCACTGAACAAAATCGCTTCCTAAACTTGGGTTTTACTGTAAATTTAGTTAAGGGGCGGTAAGCCATGCATTTTTTCACAGGTTGAATTTCTCCATAGATTTACGTGACCGTAATGTTCCCACTTGCGGATAGCATTGTAAAGGTTCGATCCTGGGCTGGCTGTATCCCGCAGGTCCTTGCCTCCCAGCACTATATAGTCGGGAACGAGATGTCCCAGGCGAACACCCTCGTCGAGTATCATCTTTGCTCTTTGCTGCTGTAGTTCAGTTACTCTTGTGTGCACATTAAACTCTTCCCGATAGTCTCCTGTATGATAAAAAAATGTGTTTCAACTTATGTACGCACGTGAGAAGTTGTTTCTTTATCTTAACACAAGAAGCTGCCGTTACTCTTTGCTTGTGAAAAGACTGAATGCATTTGATAACGGTTTTATTATATAACTTGGAATTATAGGTAAATGTCAAAAGTTAATGGTTCCCATGGTTATACCATGATGTTGGTCGCTTTGCGATGCTTCATCATGTTACTGTCGATGTGCGCGCATCGTAAAAACATATACGTACGTTTTTAAGAATGCGTCAAAAGAATTATAACTTCAAAAACATGTTTACGAGTAATTATTGATGGTCCCTTCAGAAAAGTAGTAAAACTGTACAATAACCGGAACAGGTTACAAGCAAGTGAATATGATGAAGGATTCAGTTGTTATTAAAACTTTAACATTAAAAGGTTATTTTAAATTTACTCATTTACGACTATGACATGTATAGTATACAGAGGCAAAATAAAATGACAAACTTTAATACGAGAATTTTTATAACTATTCTTAATATTTAAACAAAAAACTAGATAAAAGGTGGTTTTAATTGAAACAAATACCCTGGATGGTTTTCTATAAAACGTATTGGATAAGAGTACATTTGGAGAGCCAGAGGATCTGACCGTGATATTCTGAAGAAGGAACAGGGAACTACGCTCAGTCCCCCGAGAGGTGACCTCGGCTTAGGCTATTACTTGCGAGGGTGCCCGAGAAGGCTGGTCCTGGGCTCGATCGGTAGCTATTTTCTGGCTGGAATAATTTCTAAAGCTATCATTACTACCACTTCGGAATCCTGCCAGGTACTTGGCGGAACCTTGCTTGGCTTGGTTGCTTCCGAAGTTGCTTTATCCTATCGATGGCGATGGTCGTCTCATCGTCAGGGAAATCGAGAACGTGTCGTGGTCTAAGCCACCGATGTCGATAACGACCCGCGGATTGGGTTGCGCGGCGGCGGACTCGAAATTCAGGTATTGAGTGATGGTGGTTGAGATAAATCCACATGGAAGTTGATGTTGCGCATGAACCACGGTGCTCCCGTAGCTCTGAACAGAAATCGATTCTTGATGACATGAAGTCGGTGTATTTGCTTCAGAGCTTCTATACATGAAAACAGGCGCACTGATCAATCACAGGCTGACTGACTGAAGTTGAGCTTGGAATCTAGGACAACACCAAAATATTTGACTTTATTTATCCATAGTACCGGATTATCCATGGATTTAACTACTTTTTGTGCTAGAAGTAGACAGCCATGCATTTGGGGGGATTCATCGCCCTCATTGTCCTCTTTGCCGAGGATCGGCAAAGAGGGCAAGTTCTACATTTTTGACACGCCACATGTCATTCGAGTAGAGCGTAAAAAGGACTGGGCCCAACACGGTACCCTGGCTCGAACGGGATGCGTTAATATTCCCTCGACAAAAGGTAGTACGAGTAGCAGTCGGTGTGTGCACGCAAGTTAAAAAATTTACTCTCATAATTGTTTCCATACGTACTGTAACTCGCACCCCCCTTTGTTGCGTATATATAATTATAACTTATATATTTTTTCCCCCATTATATGAATAAATCATATAACATCATTACGTGACCAGGATAAATTATTGATCTTTCTAAAGGTAATAATTAGCCGTATGAAATATTATTGTGATCGTCATGTTCGGTAGGACCGCATTAACGTTGTGTTTATTTAGTAACTTGATTCTTTTAGGTGGATCTTGGATAGATAAATATTCACTAGTTGTGGTATAAGCCAGAGATAATGCTAGATTGCTTTCTTATTAACTAATCCCGACTCGCTTGAGACGGGCTCAGAGTATATAGTATACTCCCTCTCACGCTCACAAGGGCTCACATCAATTTCACATACCCGATACAAGTCAACAGCTCCCCCACATTTTAAAAAAATGTAGGGAAGGCACACGGCTCCATGAAAACACTCACCAACGCCGTGTGCGGTGAGCGCCAACCAACATATTGCGCCCCCCCCCCCCCCCCAAGAAGAGGGACAAAAAGTTGGGGAAAGGACCGAAGTCCATTGCAAAGCTGTTTTACCAGCATAAAGAGGGCTTGGCCCCTTGGCAGTGCGTAAGCACAAACTTTGACCGAAGTCGCGCATGTCAATGCGTGTAAACGTCATACAAGCCGACGACAAATCCAGTGTTTGTGAATGTACGTGTACGTCAATACGGTTTTGGGCATGTGTTAAAGATCAGGCACTCTGGCCCTATGATATAATAAGCCCTCCGTAAGCGCCACCACTTTTGCCAGATCGCCGCGACTGCAGACGTGATTGTTAGTGTTTTGGCATCACCACCATTACAAGGTTAGCACGACATTTCGTCGCAGAGCGCGTTATGAGTCGCTGCTCACCCCAAGGGTATGGTTAAAACGTTGCACGGCATCGCCGCAGCCTTAAGAGGTTTTCTCCCGCCAGCTACCATCCACATGAGGTAAACGCATATGCTCCACCAACCATTGAAATAGTCAGATATAGCCATAGTTGTGATTTTTATGTTTAGCCATCAGAAGGGTTTATAATTGGCAACATATATTTATTTGTCAGTGTCTCTGAAGTTGAGTATAATGTATTTTCGATTAAGTTTGTTTCACCCACCAGCAAGTTGCCATTATTCGTTCAACGGTGGGAACTTTACTGAGATTCGTTAATCATGTTAAAACGTATAAAGGAGGTCAGACAGTCTGCAGTTCCGTCATCAGGAACCCGACTTGGACAAATCTACTGAGATGTGCATCAAACCGAGACGCAGACTCGGCCATTATGAATAGCGTCGTCTCCCAAGCAAATGTCGCAAGACGCAATGTCACCAAATGCAACATGCATCAATATAACTATCGCAGGTCAACACGCCAACAAACAGCCTATCCGCATACACAGTAGACATCATCACCTCGAACCTCCGTCAACCAGAATCATACGATGCAATGATATTAGGCGCAGATCACCCCGCAAATACCACAAGACACATTACTGCATATAGCCGCATGCATCAATGTGACTATCGCGTAGGTGGCACACCCTCACACCACACCAATACAACTCCAATCAACTTCAGTTCCAAAGTTTAGAATATACTCGGAACACACGAAGTGTCCAAACATACTCTTTCACGATCCGAATGATAGTCGACGTATCATAGCGTAAACACTAAGACGCCAACCACCAACGGACCCCCACCCAAGTCAAGTAATAGCCAACGTATCATAGTGGAATACACTAAGACGCAAGCCACCACCAGACTCCCCAAAGTCAGATGATCAGTCGACGTATCATAGTGCAACACACTAAGACGCCGCCAACTACCACCAAACTCTTACTATGCCGAATGACAGCTAACGTATCATAGTGATGGTCACTAAGACGCCAACTACCACCAGCTATCGATGATATGTCCACCACTGAAGACATATCCATTCATGGTTCCACGTTTACCGTAGACCATGTCGTCGTACAGAAGTACCACGCAACTCCAAAGTAATATCTCTTATAAAGTCCCAAGTCATTCATTGCTCTTCATTATATTTATATATTTATTATTTTTTCTCTGAGCCTTCACATATTATCACTTTTATTCATTAGACCTTACTTCCATATGATCTTGGTATGGGACGTTCATACAATGTACTTTCACCATAGTACTAAGAGTCGCGATCGACCTCTGTACTCATATATGTACGATCATACAATTGTGTCCCCGCACGATACATAATACTTCCCTTAGAAATCACTAAGCATGGAATTGTATTTAATTGACATAATAGTGATCGTATCTTGCTATATTTTTTAATAAATATCCTTTTTGAGTATTTTAAGTGATTTTTAACTATTTTTTATGAATTTTTGGTAATATCATTTTCTCATACTAACACTTATATTTCTTAAATTTAAGTATATATTATTAACTTTTATTGTGATTAAACGTTCTTAAACGTTTTATTTTCATCTTAATTGATCTTTATTATGACTAATTAATAATAATAATTATTATTATTAATAGGTCGTTACAGTACCAAAAGAATATAAATTCAATAAAAAAAAATAACAGGGAATATAATTATTTTAGTACGATGGGGATTTTATTCGTATATATTATTGCACATTTTTCATATTTACGCATGTAGAAAAATTATAAAAAAATGAGTTAAAATATTTGTGCTATAAAAAATTATGAACTGTATCACGGTCATTCACTATTTAACTTTGCGAGTTACTCTTTACTTCAACTCCATCGAATGATAACTAAATTGAGATCGATATAAAAAAAGTACTAGAGATTATAATGTCGTCAACACCAATTAATCGCAGTTGATCTACGAAGTGACAATGATCATATCTTTGGACTATCTCGAAAGTGTTACGCCAATAATATAAATCTAGCCTTTGGGTCTACCCTCAAAGAAAAAAATAGAAAAACAATCATCACCATCTGAGGCATTACAGCAGTGGTTGGGACTTAGCTTGGTCAAATCTCTCCAGTCCGATTTATTCATGGCTTTCTTTCTCTAGCCTATCACCCCAAGATCTTGTTTTCCTGTTCGACGCCACCCAACTATCTGAGCTTTGGCATGCCTCAACTTCTACGGCCCTCCAGCCGGCCCTCGGCGTTTGGGTACTCTGTCCTCGTACATTCGCACCACATGCTCTGCCCATCGCAGACGACCCATCTTTATGAAACCGATGACATTTGGGTCGTCATATATTTGGTTCAGCTCGTGGGAAGTAACAGTTATAGAAATTGTAATATAAATATGAAGTTTAATAACTATTTAACAATGACTAAAATTATTATTAGCTAAGTTTATAATGCTCAACTTATAATGCTACGGTATATTTCATGGGATAGTGATAAAACAATTACTTATTCCAAAATTTATTAAAAAATTTATTTTTGAAAAAAGTTTTTTGGAGAGAGAAGAAAATTTACATTTTTTTACTTCTCTCATCGCTTTAGTTCCTTTGAAACTATTGAGTAATGCCGTTTTTAACATAAATTAGGTACATTAAAATTTGTAGAAAAAAACGATGAAAGTATATCTCCGCTGCGGGAATCGAAAAGAAGTCTTTCGAATTCCGCCCAGACGCTTTAACTTAAACCTAAGCTAAATGGCTGATTTCTACACCAATGAAAATTTCAACGATTATCTCCATTGTTTTTTTTCCTGCCTTGCTTGGCGATTCAAGCAAAAGTTCGTCTTTTTTTCTACAAATTTTAATGTGTCACATTAAGTGCAGACATTAGCACTATAAAAAATAAAAATGATAATATCACGATAAGTGAATTACAATGCAAAAAAAAATATTATATAATAAATTATGCGGATATCTAAATAAATGACAAAACGAATTAAACGAAAACGTTTAAGGGACTATACGAGTATAGTTGCTAGAGCCTGTTGAAACAGGCTGTTAGCCTATACTCAAACAGTCGTTTTTAATAAAAGCTTAAAGTTTTTCAGCGGATGCCCCTAGCACAGGTAAGATCGGTTCACTTTGAAATTTTGATAATGGTGGCTTTGGTAGACAGAGATAACAAGTAACAAAGGTCTTTAATATTCTAGCTAAACTTCGTTAAATTAGGAAGTCCACTTTCTTCATATTTTCATCTGAGTCATAATAGAAAACGATCTAACCCATTGCCAGACAATTAGTAACTTGTCGAAACCCCCAGACACCATTAAATGTTTACGTTGTAATTGTACTTTCGTTATAGTATGATATATAGGTTTCACCAAATGGCAAACAGTTATAATGGTTCCAAAATTTAGTTAGACTAAGTAAGTTGAATGTTGGAGTGCTCTGCAATGACCGTCAGTGGGTGCGGGTTCTAATTCCTCGATGGAGGGCAGTGGAAGCATTTTTAATCGTGATTTTTATTGTTATTGTAGAAAAAACAAATTTTTTCAAACGAATTTGAACTTCTGTTATTATTAAGAACTTATTTTGGGAAAGACATTTGGCGTAGTTGAATCGTTATTTTCATTTACCTCTTCGCCATTAGAAACATCATCATTTTCTTGAGATTCTTGAAAAGCTTTTGGTTGTAATATTGGTATAGATTGAGTCAGTGACGCATGTTGGTGAGATGATTCTCCGGATGATTCTGATGATGATTTGTAACATTCCCTGTGATAACCGTCCGTATATTCACTCGGTAGCTAAATGTCAAAATGTAAATATTTAAGGTTATGTATTTTCCTGAGTTCATAAATTTTTTTAAGGTATCTTCTGTGATCAATATTGTTTTATCACTACATTTTTTGCAAATAACACAAAATAATTAGTCTCCCATAATTATATTTTATTATAGCTGGATCATAGTCATTTTATAAAATGCACAAAAATTTATAAAAACGTGGACACATATAACAAAAGACATATTGATGTATCAAAGTATGACTGTTATTTGAAATTGACTGTTTAAACTAAAATTTGTCTGGTTAAGGTTTGGAACCATAAGAATTGTTTGCCATTTGGTGAAACCTGTTTTTATAATAACAGCAAAAAATAATATAAAAATTATACTGTAACGAACGTGTTTATACTGTACAATTACATTTCATTGACGTTTAAGGGAGTTTGACGGAGGGTTGCCACGATGCTAATTGTCTGACAACGGGTTAGATCGTTTATTGTTACTCGTACTCAGATGAAAATGTGAAAAAATTGGGTTGTGTCTGGTGGGCCAAAGTTACCATATAAATTTTATAGTGAGCCACCGCCTTATCTGTACTAGGGGCATGCACTGAGAAACTTTCAGCTTTTGTAAAATAACTAAGTAATCATAAATTAAGTAAGTAAATAATTTTTATAACGTAAACTTCTATATTGTTAATGGTTTTTAATAATTGTTTTTAATTTATTATAATACCCTCTGTAAATGAGGAGGCCTTAGCCCAACAGTGCAATTGGTATAGGCTTACTTTTTTTTTAATAAGCATGTTACGTCCAGTAATTGAAAGAAATTATAAACTATAATGGCCATCGTACAAAAAGAGGAAACTTTTAATTAAGCTCTGTCATTGTTCAAGTCTACTTCTTGTTTCAATTTTCTTTTAGATCATTGGACTTCAAACGACTACATTCTTCTTCATTTTTAATAATTATATTCCGTCACTAAAATTGCAGCAAGAATTCTCGAAATAATGGAGTAAAGAAAGTTTGTATTACTTTGTTGGTAAGATAAATATCGATACGGTATTTTATTTTCTTATAGAAAGATATTGATAACACTGGAGATCGTAGCATTTGAGAGAGTAGAAAATATTGTCTCATTTATCTTACTTATATCCTTGCATCTGAATATTAGATAAGATTACTAATTCTAATCGATAGATCAACAACAAAGGTTAATTTTGAGCATTGCACAAGATCACTTCCTTAATTTCGGTTTTACTTTTAGTTAAGTTAGTTGACGGGTGGTAGCCCATGCATTATTTCACAAGTAGAGTTTCTCCATGGATTTACGTGGCCGTAATGTTCCCACTGGCGGATAGCATTGTAAAGGTTCGATCCCGGGCTGGCCGTATCCTGCAAGTCCTTGGCTCCCAGCACCATATAATCAGGTGCGAGATACCCGAGACGAACCCCCTCTGCGAGAATCATCTTTGCTCTTTGCTGCTGGAGTTCAGTTACTCGCGTGTGCACATTAAATTCTTCCCGATAGTCTCCTGGTCACAAAAAATACGTTCACCAGTAAGTATTAACGGTCACTTCAGAAAGATGAAACTGTTGATGTACAGAACAAGTTTTTATCCCGTTCTGGTATTTCAATATGGTTTGTGATTCAATTCATTTGAATCGTTAAAATATTACTTAATTTTACTCAAAACTATAGCATAATTATATGCGTAGTACGCATATGCAAAAAAAATGAAGTGACTGACTTTATTCCTAATATTTTTTATTTTTTGTTAAAAAATGAAAAATATTCCTTTTTTTTTCTTTCTTTTGTAAAAAGAAGTGGTCAAATATTATAGATATATAGAATAAGAAATATAGGCTTTACCAATGAATCCAATGCCGACAGAGCAACGGTTGTAAGAGAAGGTATGCGCTCCTTCAATACCCCAACCTCGTCCTTCGTACACTCGACCATCGTTGCCAATTAGAAAATTGTAACTGAAAGAAATTGAAATTGTAAACGATGAAGTAATTGTGTAGTTGTCGTTACCACAGTGACCTAATTGTTTTTAGGTCGGTTTGTGAATTGACAGGCCTTTTTTTTTTTCATTAAATATAACATACAGATACATAAGAAAAACCCAGAGGATGTTATAATTACCAGGGGTCTACTTACGGAATATCGTATTCGTAGTATCGGATAAACCAGGACTGCATGTTACGTAGTTCCGCCGCGCATATCACGAACCGCGGGCACGCCGGGCTGACTGTGTGCTGGATGATCACAAGTTTCAGCGGCTCGAAGCGCTCGGTAGTGAAGTTGGTGATGAAGTGCTGCGCCAGCCACATTTGCCGCGAAATATTCCACTCGTGTGGCGCTTTGGGATACCGTTACAACGTTTAGATTCCTCTTATCACATCACTAATATTGACATTTCTTATTGTCTTAAGTCATCACCATCTATTTAGCAACTATCTTTAAAGTTCGTTAATCATATCTGTTACCGCTTATGCTTTTTTTGTTAAAAACAATGTAGGTAGATAATTAGATAGAGTACATTCCATATAACGTTGTGATATATCAATGGCTAAATTGTTCATATGAAACAACTTTCACATTTAATTGTATATTATAATGTAACAAAATTGAAACTTTTTATGAAATTTAACATCAATATTTTACATTCATTATAATTACCTACGCTCGACTGGGATTGTATGAAGGCAAGATAAACTTCGTTTTCATTAATTCTCTGTATCATCATAGATTTTTAACAGCACTACGTAATTTGTCCGTATTAGGCAATAAAACTGTATTAAATAAATCATTAAGCGTCTGCGATTTTTTAGATTGCAAATACCTACCTTGTCTAATCGCTTTAGTAGTAGTTGCATTAATTTGTTATCAGCGGTCTGAAGGAATTTAATACCTATATTTATTCCATTCAGTAAAAGCTATAGTCGTATAAACTATAGCTTTTACTGTATTTACGATTTACAAAAATACTAGATGTTTGGTGAGAATTATGAATTTAAACATTACATAAAATTATTGATAATTTTTTTATTGAATTGTGACCTTAACTCTACCTAGTTTTCAATTAATTGCACATAAATTTGTGTGATATCCAATATTTACCTCAGAGTAAGCATTTCAAGTTTTAATTACTAATTATATGTAAGTGTGTAGTAGTATATACGGATAAGTCTAAATGATATGGAATAACCAAAATAATGGAATGTCTAAAATACTATCTAAGTCTAGTCGAAGATAATGTGATGAAATATATATATATTTAATATTTAGTTTAAAAACGTAGAAGTATTCTTAATGCTGTTGCTAATTGAATTCTAACTCTATGATCAAAATTTTGGTGTGACGTCCGGTTTCTGAAACACTGACCATCGTAAAAGCCAAAAATCGCTTTTCAAATGTTAATTGAGTTGCCAAAATGATTTTTAACTCTCTGAATCGATTAGAATGATCTTCTTAATGACGAATTATATGAGTTCAACAATCCTTTCGGCAACTCAAATTACATTTGAAAAGCTATTTGACAGCTCATTAGTAGACTTCTACGATGATCTGTTTTTCAGAAACCGAGAATTAAGACGGATTTGATTAGTTCCGTGATAGAAGGGATTGTATGTAAATTGCCATGGAATAGATAAAAGAGGACCTCTTGTACCTATTAACTTAAATGTTGCTATAAACCATTGACACGTAATTTATATATAGTATCCATAGCAAGCCGGCAAAGCTGAACAACATTATTGGCTGCAGGTCTTATAATTAAAGTGGTTTTGCTGTTATAAATGTTGTTGTAGTATTTAAATAATATTGAAATTGAATAATATAAGAACATTCTCAAAAAGAAAAACTACAAGAAATTCCGTACTTGAGTAATGGATAATTATCTTTTTAGGACGACTCGAATGGTGTAGTGGGTAGTGTACCTGCCTCTTGCACTGGAAAAATATTTGTGATGAACGTAGTGTTTTTCTAGTGTCTGGGTTTTTATATATGTATATATTTACAAAAGAAAAGTATGTTTAAATATGTTAATCAGTTATCTAGTACCCATAGTACAAGCGGTGCGCGATGCTTAGTTTGGGACTAGAGAACGTTGTGTAAAATGTGTCTTGAAATTAGAATTATCGCGGCGAAATAAATTGCTTGTTGCATTGATATTTCAGAAAACCATAACTTACCAACGTCAACGAAGTCGTCCGCGTTGTTTTTCGCCTTTATCGTGAAATAAACTATAAGACCGACGCAAGTTATGAGGAGCACAAGGACGATTAGGCATGAGAGTCGCTCAGCTCGCGAACTGTTCTTGATTATGTGCCACAGGTAAACGGGGAAGGCCATGTCTGCAAGTGATGAATACGTATTTTGTATTTACGGTAAACTTATGGCGGATCAACTGCTTCGATACAAAGTTTTTGACACTATTGCGTGTCGTCTTATTCATCAATGGCTTGCTTTGCTTGCAACTAATTGCTATTTTTTTTTATTTTTTATGGAACATAAACACGCGTGGTCTATCATCATGAAGTCCGCTTGTTGTCTTTCATACTTTTGAAATAAAATTAGTCATATTGTAATATATTTAAATACAACATAATTGCAAGATATGACATGGATCGTTTTAATAGTGAAGAAAGATTCTTTAAAAAAATCTAAGATATATTTCAGTCAATAAAAACTAATAATTATATGATGATACTTGTTGAACTATTTACAAGGAGCCCAACCAATCGTAGCTAACATAAATACCATAAAAATTCATACAACCAAGTCAAAATAAAACACAATAGTACCTAATAATAAAATTTTCCACCGAAGTTAATCTCTTGCACTTGGGAGTCGCAATTTGGTCGGAAAACAACGTTTGCAACATTTTTCTCTAACACAAGTCATGTGCACATCTCCCGATTATTACACTGAGTTACGCTCATAAAGCCGACACTAGTCTTCACATAATTCGCCGCGATTGTTTACGACGGCTCAGCCTATCCCTTTTTATTATTTGTCAAAGTACACAGACCACAATTCGACGCGACAATATAAATTAGTATAATTTGAGGGAGCTATTTGTGTCTATTTTAAAAACTATAACACATATGGTATGTATTAGCGATTATTACTTACAAAAATATGGGTATGTATGACAGTTGTCGTTTGTCTAAAGCTTTACCTTGAGCTTTGTATAATTACAATGCGAGAAATCCATACATGTTATAAAAGTAAAGTTCAAACTGCTAAAAGACATTAGGAGATATCGATTGTAATAAATTTTGAAATTTTACATTTGAAACTGCACATACATTTTATATACCGGTAAAAATTTGGAATTTTGATGCTTGGAACAACATTACTTATAGTAATAAGAGTTTGTAATTATGTTTGTGAATTTAAAGTTTTAAAGGATCTCCATTAATAAGGACAGGTATCATATGTTCATAATTCATCATTACCCCATGACAAATACAAACTTATAAAAATGATTACGCAAACCAGAAAGTTATAACACAAAAACCCGATATTTGAGTCACGGAGCATTAGATCGAACGTGAAGACATGACGAATATTCATGTTATATTTATTTATAACATACAGTTTTTGTTCTTTGAAACTACATGAAACAGTGTTAGAGTTTAATTTTTTTTCTTGGGTAATTAAATTAAATTCGGTAACCTTTTATCCCCAAAATTATTCTCGGCTGTACTGGAATCAATTTTTAGGAAACTCAATTGGGAAAACGTTGGGATCAATATAGACGGTACATCACTGACGCACTTAAGATTCGCTGATGACATAGTACTGTTCGCCAAAACACCTGAAGACATAACTAAAATGATAGAAGACCTTGCGATAGAAAGTGAGAGTGTAGGATTAAAACTTAACCCGGAAAAGACTAGAATGATGACAAATGGGGAGAAAGCCAAGATACAGATAAGAAACACCGAACTCAACTACACCGATGAATACATCTACCTGGGACAAATGATAACTCAAAAAGAACCTATGCGCGAGGAAGTGCAGAGAAGAATTACGAACAGCTGGAGAAGTTATTGGAGTTTGAGGGAAGTTATGAAAGATAAACAACTGCATATAAACATTAAAAGTAAACTATTTAACACCTGCATACTACCCGTCCTTATGTATGGCTGCCAATCTTGGACATTAACTCGGGAAATGACAAATAGACTAGCAACTTGCCAATATACTATGGAGCGGAGCATGCTGAACGTCAAAAGATCAGACAGACTTAAAAACTGTGTCATCAGAAATAAAACAAGAACCGCAGATGTAGTACGGAAAATTAAAAGACTCAAATGGAGATGGGCAGGTCACACAATAAGAGGTCATGACAAATGGAGTAAGAAGGTGACAAGGTGGTATCCCAGGGAAGGTAAAAGGAAAAGAGGCAGACCGCAGAAAAGGTGGGACGACGATATAAGAGAAGTGGCAGGAGTGATGTGGAACAGAGTGGCCCTAGATAGGTCAGAGTGGAAGAGGTTGGAGGAGGCCTTTGCCGATTGGCAAACAGATCTGCAAAAGATAAAAAAGCAGCTGATATTAGAATAAGTTTTAAATTTGGTTTTAGTTTTAAGTTTGCTTTGGAATATTGTTATGAGCGTAAGATGATCTGAATAAAAGGCTATTATTATTATTATTATTATTTAACCTTTCTTGGAGTAGGCGTTAATGGGCCCTGATGAGTTTCAAGTGTAGGTCATGCTTCGGAAATAAATATCTCTTCTATTTTTGGGGTTTATCTCTTTTCACCCCACTTCTATAGACATCTCGTCATTAATTGTGCCAGTGATCGTCAGTGTCAGTGCAGACATAACCAGTATTGAATCTCATTACTGTTAGTTTCGGAAGTCGTGTTTGATTCTTAATGAATTAAGAATCAAACGATCATCAACAATAATCAAGAACAAAATACAAACAACAATCAAGCATCAAACACGAAACGCTTTCTAATTCTTTTGAAGTGAAAACTTCTTTACTTTATGGAGGAACAAAAATCATGGACGACGCATCATTGTCATCTAGCTAGATCGATTTATTGCCCCCGAAACACCCCCGCTTACATGAAAATCTACAAGAATTGCTCGTTTAAAGGTATAAAATAATATTATATAATAATATATTTGTGCATTCATTTTGATTATTTATATTTGATTATACGGATAAAAGGCTGATTCTTAAACTCATATTTATATCTGATCGTTTTATTGCTAAACATAACTTATTTTTTTGAATTGAATATCACGCTATATAGCGTTCCCGGCCATATAGGCAAAAATTTACAAATAGCCAATCGCGTGATATATATTTCGACTATATAAAATCTTATTTACATAATATAAAGGTATCTATATAAATGACGCATTAAGTTATACTGAGCATAATAAACAATGAATAAAAGAAAATAAGTTTTTTCCCATCTCACTGAAATTCAAATTTTCCGCATGGCATGGAACGTGGCAAAGTGCTTTAAATCACTTTCTAGATCACTTACGAACCAACTTATATTAAAATTAGCAAAGATAAGATTTCTTATCAGATGTGCACGTAGAAAATGTAGCAAATTACAAAAAAATGCTTTAACTATTGAATAATTATTCCTATTAAAATAATTATGGCGAGGTCTGTTTTATGGTCGCGGGTTGCAATCCCAATGGCACACAGTCACTAATGGCTTGATAAGATGGTTGAGAATAACTAAATTACAAGAACGCACGTTTTTGTTAGGATATTTTTTATTTCGGATTTTTTAATTATGGATTAGAAAGAATGATAGACAAATCTATGTTACCTATCATTTCAAAAAAATTAAATGATAACGAATTTGTTGGCTTTTTGTACAAAAAAAGTATTTGAGTATAAAATTAGCAGGAACCAGGGGACTTGCAAGTGCAGCGAAAGAGTTATTTTCACACATCATTGACTATGATGTAATCTAGACGTAATAGTATATCCGACATTATAATATGCCTTTTCCATTAAGGTATCGTTTGAAATGTCTACAAAATGATTGAAATTATTTACTTGTTTTTTTTTTTTGCGGATGTCACTTATTATCTTAATATAGTCTAAACCTCAGTTTTTCCAGCGTGTCACCACGGCCCTGTTTTGATCTCTTCGAAAAATCTTAAGGTACTAAACACTTGTTCGGTTGCTATCAGATAAGAACAAGTTCATTTTTTAGTAATGAAAAACAAAAACGACTGCAAATATCTCGCTCTGTATTAATTTTATAATTAATTTTCCGGAGTTCCTTAAGTTTCTCCGGAGCCCAAGATACAATAATAATGAAATTAATGTTTGTAATCGAAAGTTCTGAGGTAACAATGTGCCGTGTGAAAGAGACAGAAATTTAATGTGTCACTGTAAGCCTGATAACACGTTAATAACGTTAAAGTTCATTCGATTTTCTTGAAGCCCGGTGAGTATTCGTTCGCACTCAATGCTACACTGAATAATATGCAGGTATAAATAACAGGACTTTTTTATTAACTAAATTTTGGATGATTCCAAAATGTAGTTAATAAAAAAGTCCTGTTATTGCAAAAAGTACATTGATTGAAATGATATTTTTTTGATTATCGACAACACTTAATACGCGATAAGCAACAAGGTCTCAAGAGCCGACTCTAATTCCTAAAGATATAATAGCTGTTAAGTTGTTGCTGCATAAAAAAATAAGACAGCTAAATGTTTTATGGCATTCTGCTTTGGGGAAACGACGCTGGTATTAATTTTTTGTCCTCCAAAAGAGAGCTATTCAAGCGGCTTATAGCCTGGGCCCCAAAGAATCACTGAGAAATTTGTTCAAAGAGATTAAAATATTGATTGTTGCTTCTCAGTACATACTTGAAAATGCTATGTATGTTCATAAAAACGAAAATGAATATTCAAAACATGCGAATGTACATGATATAAAATACTAGGAACAAGCATAAATTAATTCTACCCGCAACCAGACTGCGTAGAATAACTAATTATTTCATCGGACAATGTATACGTTTTTACAACAAAATCCCAGAAAGCGTTCACAATGTATCAATTTATAAATTCAAAAAAAATTGTAAAGGACCGTTTGTGTGTTAAAGGCATTATATTGTTAGTGATTATTTCAATGATAACACACCTTAGAAATGAAGTGATCGCTCCAGGTTCTTTCAAGTGGACTTTAATACACTTGTAAACATGTCTTTATTTGGTAAACAATGGTATAAAAATAAAAAGAAAGTCCCGCTGAGTTTCTTTCACCGGTTCTTCTAAGGTCAATTGCTTTTCTTTCCGAACCGATGTGGTAGCGTTTTGACAATCAATAACAAAGTGTAAGACTTCTATATTGAATAAAGGTATTTGATTTGATTTGTATACTCCACATGCCTCCCCATCGTACTACAATGTTCAGCAGAAACTGTTATTGTCCATTAGGACATATAATAAATTACTAAATAGATAAAAAATTTAAATTTAATTGTTTAAGCGAAAACTGTTTAACTTTCTGATAAGTAAATGTTATTATTCCACAGGGGGTTATTTAAATGATAAAAATTTATAAAAACACTTTCCAAAATTATATTTTCTTTTGTTTTGTTTTCTTTACATGTATTTAGTGTAAAATGTTATATTTGTACACCAGAAATAGTAGAACATAAAGGATGATGCAACTTTTAAGACCTATTTTGTACTATGTTCTAAAAAATTGAAGTATCTTTTTTTCTATATATATATACGTTATTAAGAAAAAAAGTCGTAAAGTCGTCACACTAATGGTCATAATAACTATAATGCTAATTTTGCTTTAAGACGATCACATGTTAGGCTAGTAAGTACTCGCCTATCATATGATGAAAACATGAGTAACGAAAGAAAATGACGTTAAATAGAACTATAAAATGGCAATTGTAAAGGTTTTTGTGTAAATATAACTATAATAAAAATAGTTTCATAGGTGAAAAATATTTACACAATAAGCAGCGTGTGACAGTTGAGATTTCTGTTTCAAAATTATGACAATGATATTCTTTCCATGAGTGCTATTGTCAACTTATTTATTATTACATTATTACGTATGGTTTACAATAACATTTTAAAGAATAATGCAACATTTTACTACATTTTAAATCGATAATGATCAATGTAATTTTATAAGCCCAACAATGCCATGTTCCCTGAATTTAGGGCATTTTACGTATTTAGTGTTAATTCAAGGAAAATACATCATAAATACATCATCTAATAATAACAAATACATTTCCAGGTGCGTTACAATTGCACATCACCAGGCCAACTTATCAGTCTACGCTTATAATATCACTGATATTATTTCTTACTACTCATTTATTTGGTGGTCTGTAAAGTAGAATCTATATCTATATAATAATCCTTAGCTTGTACCGAGACTTAAAAATTTTTGAGATTTATCTAAAAACTATATTATTCACTTGATTAAAGCCAGTCACCTCTGTTAAATTATAGTTGCGCTAAACAATTATGCTTTATACTCCATAGCCTACAATGTCCCCGACAAACGATGTCTGTAAATTGTTATAGGAAATTGCAAACATTTATCTCATTTTAAACTTAAATTTCGTCAATATTTTTAATTTCTTTTATGTCAACTTCTGAGGCATCCTGTCATGTTGTAATTGTTCCAATGAGCAAAGTTATCTAATCTTCGAATGACGTGTTGTCCAGGAGAAAAAGTATCTGGGGATACTTGACAGTGTCCGTACAAGGTATAGTCTGGTTGCAGGACCCCTTCTTTTACTAGGACCTCCAAAAGTACATTGACATTATCAAACTGCTCTTGAACCGTTTCATCTGTCATATAGTTGCCCATGAATGTTATCGAGATGCTTTTTACATTCCAAGACGTGATCATTGCTCCAAAGACGTTGGCACCACGGCCCTCGAACACCAGTCCATTGCCACCAACCAAGAAATTTGAACCGATGTCATACAATCCCCTCCGCAAGTGGTCTTGTTGTATAATAAGCATTTGCTCTATGCACGAGTATCGTTGGTTGCAGTAATTTGCTGCGGTATGACAAATTATGACGTACGGCAAAGGTAAGTTGAGAAATTCTATTCCGTAGGGCGGCATTGCTTGCCAGTCAGCACGACGCAGGTACCATGGCTCGTTAAGACCTAATCAAAATAAATAAATGAGATCACCCTGGTATTCAAGAAAATGTCAACATATCAGTCAATCTACTGTTCAGATAGTAATGATCTAGAAAAGGACTGTTATGAAATTATCCGTCATTACATTATGTATTATTTATTCTATTGGAAGTAAAATGCAATAAAAGAGTATTTAATAAGCGAAGACATTAAATTTTACGGTGTATGCAGAAAATTAGAGAATATCATAGGAGCTGTGTATTCCGACGGGATGGAATACGAAGAAACAGGGACTTATTATCGTGTTTTGATCTAGCCATCTAGTATAGCGGCCTATCTTTACCTATGTCTAGGCGTGTCTGCTGCCGGGGTAAGGCGACGTAGATGAGGTAGATGGCGAGAGCAGAAGCGACAATAAATGCCCAACACACGAAGACCGCGACGCTACATCGTAGCCTGCGCGCTCGCTTGGATGACACCAACTCTAGGCCCAGAAACCGGCCTGAAACATTAAGATGACTACTCTGATACCGTGACAAATTACGCGTTTTGGATTTGAAAAATGACCTAATCGATCATTTATTCCGTCGGTTAGAGGTGTCTCGATTTTAATCATAATCAATCGATATCGATATACCAGATATGTTGACGTATGCGGTCTAAATGTTCATACCAACGAAAATCTGAAAATAGTCCCCACGATCATTAGTTTTAAACAGATACATAAATTAAAACTTAATGTCAATCACGATAATAAAAGGCCAGTCGCTATATCTTCGATCTTGGTTGGTAAAGGAATTTATTTCCTGATTTCAATTTTTCCATTGTACCTATATCATTTCTTTATTCAAAAACAAAAAAATATTTAGACTGGTAGACACTTTTTTAGTACATTTCCCAGTTAAATTTTCCTTCTCAAGGAGATTCTGTTCCGAATATCTTGTACGGGCTCGTTCTACGGTCTTTGTTATATATAATACTCGACATAAAGCTGAGCGGGAGTAGTTACTGAGCTGCAAAGTCATAAATGTCAAATTCTCTAGTTTGCTGTTGATACAATTGTTAAGCGTTCATGAAAATAATTAGTGTGCGCAGTTAGTAGTTGGGATGAAGAAGATCCATGGAAATGTATATTTGGCAATATTGTGATGGACAAATAAATATATGTGTTGCTGTGCCCCTATTAAATGTACGCAATAACAATGTAAGTATGATATCCTCAAAATAAGATAAAAGTATTTTTCTTTCAGCTCTATAGTGCAGATTCTAAGTAGACATCAATTTTTTCCGTTATTCCAGATGACTGTTCGTTGAATTTTGTTTCGAATGGTGTTTTTGAAATTTTATCAGTTTAATAACTTTGATGTTATAAATTTAAGTGAACGAAACACATAATAAATTTTTTATTACGATAAGAAGAAATGCGATTTAGATGTGGGTCTACATAAAGGAATTGCTAATTTATTTAACGTTATCGACGTTAATCGCGCACTACAGATATTAGCGTTTCGAAATCATAGATAACGTTTGGTATGCACAAAAGAATATAATCTCTAGAAATATGAAATCGGTTTTTACCATGTTTTAAATAGTCATAACTTGTGCATTGTTTCGATTTATGAAGGAGAATTATTTCCTTCAAACTTAAACAATTAATTAATGAATAAGATGGGCTCATAAACTTCGCATGTAAATTGTGCGCGCAGCATGTCGATAGATTAAATCACAGTGCATTAGATTAAAAAGTACTCGATCCTCATTCTATATTCAACGATATTTAGCTGCAACTAAAAATAACAGTTACGAGAACATTATTATTTTACAACATTAAAAAACCTATGCATTGGTCTGCATATATTGATGGTATCCAGAATACCAATAGCAATATGAATCAAAATAATCACGGGAAAAAACATAACCTTGGAGTGTCCTTTTGAAGTCCATTTTTAAGAATAATTTCTCATTATGGGGGTTAAATATGGAAATAATGGACTCACAAAGCTTTATGTAAAATAAGGTAACTGTACAAAATAAATGATTTAAGTGGTTAAAATTATCGCCAGCGATTAAAAATTAATTAAACGCAAGCACATTGAAGGAATATAGTTTACAATTTTTTAAAGATTTTTCTCAGAGAATATACAACATATATAGAATATATAACGGTACGCACAGATATTCATATAAAATAAGTAAGAGCATATTCAAGATACGTTCTTGGTTTTATCACAAGCTCAATAACAGGAAAACTCAATAATTAATAACAAACATCACGCCTCACCTTTTATAACCTCTGTGTTTTGTAGATTCTGCGTCACAGACACGAATTTAGGGCCAATGTGGACCCGGGAGGATTTAGTAACGTTTAGATTCGCCACAGTTGGCGCTGCCGTGGAGTTGGCCAACCCTTGGCCCTCCACTAGCACCACTTCCGAATTGGCGCTCGTGCGGCCCAACACATCGCCGGGTTGATCTTCCTTAGCAGTCCACATCACTAGTAGCAAGATAAACACAAGCTCGTGGTGGTCCTGGCTGAACTGTTATGAGTACGATAGAAGAAACGATATCTCTCTTTGTTGCTTGAGACGCGACTAACACATTGGACTCTAGCGTTGTCGCGAGCACAGTGTTTAATGATAAATGCGAAACGATGACGCATGCGGCAAAATATCTTCCGTCAGTATGCATCGAATTACCTTACAGATAACAGTTGCTTTGACTTATTCGTATTTATTCACATATATTTGCTGTGCTGTATATAACATATGCCATTGGATGAAAATCTTTATTTTAAGTAAACTTTTACTTGCTTTAATTGTCATTCCTATTACGTGTTAATTTTTCAGTATTATGTATCAAAAAATAACAGGAATAATAGGCGATTGTTAGTTTAGTTTATTATCATCATATACTCAGATCATTTTGTTATATGAGTTACTATACATATTTTTTTAATGCCTTTCTCTGAATTTAATATCAAATTAAAAAAAAAAAACTTGTGAGAACATGCAATTTTTAGGGAATTTGTGTGATGAAGCAGGGGAAGCGGTGGGTGTGTAGCCCCGCTTGCAGGACGCACCACGTTAATTTCGCTGGAGCGACGCGTGGCGATCATAAATTATCTATTAGTGGTGTGCTGTAGAATGCTATCGATATCGAAAATACCGTGGGAGACTACAGTAGAAACCTGGTTGTTAGTTTTTTAAATAGAGAAAAAGCATTACGTTATTGCTTTTTCATTTTATTGAGTAGATAATTGTCATTATACATACTATATATCATATGGTGTCTGCATTTAAGGACTATCTTGTGAACAGAATAAACAGAACAGAACAAATCCGTCGTCGTATGCGGAGACTTTAATATTAATCTCATAGAAGCTTTTTATTTATTTTTATTTATTTAAACTTTTACACAAAAAAAATTAGTATTGTGTATAGGCGGACTTAATGCCTAAGGCATTCTCTACCAGTCAACCTATGGGCGACGCAGAGACAAAAGAGGCAGGTGTAAAAAGTTTCAAACCAAATTTTAATTTAAAACAAAAGTTATATATATATATTCATATATACATAAATTTAAGACATATACATGAAAATATATAAAGGATATAAACATATTAAACCCAATCTTTTTCCATCAGTATAAGAATTTGTTAATTGTTAAAATCATTTATTGTAGTCAGTTTATTTTTGAGCCCATAAGAATATGAATCAAGTACAATATGTATAGAAAACATTTTTACAGTTCTCAAACCATTGCGCGTATTATTGACAATATGCATACGAAAATAATAACGAATTCAATAGATCGATATTTAATTTCCTGAGAACTCAATAGTGCCATGTTCGTTCTCTAACACAATCGTTTCTAAAACAATATCTTTGAACAGTCGCAAGAGTTTAAAAGAATGCAATTTAGAAGAAGCAGATAAACCAAAAGCAGATAAATAACCATTCCGAGACATTTTAGGATTATGTGAAGTTATTCAAAAATAAGGAATCAAACTAATAAGGAACAACAGTTAAATGTTGTAAATGTAATGGGCAGCGTTCGTGAACCTAATCAAAATCTTCTCGACGAATATACCCCAATGTTGTCATCCACCGCTAAGCTTAGTTGGTAAAGCGCCTTGTCGCGATATCAGAAGACGCATGTTCGAATCTTGCAGTGTATTAGTAAAAAAAATATTGTACGATAATAAAAAAAGCCATTAGAAACGACTAAAAAAAAGAAAAATCATGTAACACAATCATTGAACAACAAAGTGGTCATTTAAAAAAATATATCATTTTATTGGCAAAAAAAGAGCTAACAACTACTTGAAGCGTGACATCTGCCTCTTTACTTTGTGCGAAGACTATACTTCTGTTTTCATAGCGTGAGCGTATTGTTGTAAAGTATTAAAAATAAACAAATCAATTTTAGTTATAGGATTACGTTAAATAATTTAAGTATACAGTAAAGCTAGGCTATAATCGTTATTTCTCTGCGTGAAAGAGTTCGCAACCAAGACATCCGCAGTAGAACAAAGGTTACCGACTTAGCCCAGAAGGTTAGTGAGCAGAAGTGGCGATGGGCCGGCCATAAGGCTCGGAGAAACGATAGCCGTTGGAGAAGAAAGGTTCTACTGTGGTAGCCTCGTGCTGTCAGTGTGGGACGGCCCCCGGGATGCCCCCGGGTGCGGGAAATCGATGGATGCAAGTGGCTCAGGATCTTACAGCGTGGCAGTCTGTGGCGGAGGCCTATGTTCAGCAGTAGACTCAATAGGACTGAAATGATGATGATGATTCGATAAAAAAATATAAATAATAGTAAAATAATCTTTAGGTCTTCTAATAAACTACTAATTAGACAAAAATTTGTATTTTCAGCGATTTTAGATTATTGAAAATTTTGCTATAAAAGTTCTTAGCAGTTCCTGAGTAACAAACTTTTATATTCTCTAGGACCCTCTTGATTTCGAATCGATAGTGACTACCATTTGGACTAAGATCATACCAGCACTCGGACTGACATCGATCTGACATTCTAACTGAAAGTCAAACCTCCAGTCTATAAAAAACTTATTCGAACCATATTATCGCAAATCGTGCAATAGAAATCCTCCGCTTCATGAGTCATCGAAGGGTCGAAGAGTACGGTCTGAGTTTAGGGCCTTTAACTTTCTGAATAACTACTGATGTCTGATTAGAGAGAAAATCGCGGGCCTATGGGCCTATATCGATCTATATTAGAAACCATCAATAGGAAGTAAAGATCCCACATCGGAACACTATGACCACCCAAAACGGGTTGAATACTTCATTAAATAGCAGCATAACTATTAATATACACCAAATGATAATTTACTTGAAAAATAAAACAAAACAGGTGGACCAAACAATTTCTAAGTTTATTTTCATCACAAATTCATTGTTTTCAGTATAATTAATAAAATAACATTGTATTATAGAACTAAACAAAATTATGGTTATCTAAAAAATTCAGTAATAAATCAATTAATATAATAGCCTTATGAAACTATTACTATTACAAATTTAATTCAAATTAAAATAACAATTGCTTATATTTAAACATTTTAAATGTTAATTATCACGTGGTTTTGTTATACTACAATTGGTACATTGTGCGTGTACCTAAGAACAGCACGTGGGCGACGGGTATGTGGACATGTCTTGAAAGTAAAACAAAGACGCTCCTCCGGTATATTACGCAAAAGACTATCCAGCAGGATAATAAATTAAATTAAACCGTGTTTCGTTAAAACTACTTCCAAAAATCAACAGAATAAATTACTGACACACCTATTTAGACGCGTTTCACGTCTGTCGATTCTGAAATTTATGAAAGATATTTTGAATGAAATTTAACCCTACATTATGTTATAATCTGCCTGCTCAGAAATTTTGTCATAGATGTTTCAAATAATGTAAGTAACAAACCTAACCGCAAAAAACAGCTTTGTCAATTAACTAAGACAAACAAACATAAAAAATCTTTTTAAATTATGTGTACGCATTTCGACGTTTTACAGATTTCTTTTTCGATATTACCCTCATTGTCAAATTTCATATTATGGTGCAGTACGCATGAACAATTAAAAATGTAAATGTAATTTACAATTGTTTCGAAGACAAATGTTTAGACATTTGTTGACAAAAACATTGTTTCGGAAATACCGATGACATTATTGAGATTTTTAAAAAAAGTAACTAGAGTAGTAGACATTTTGGGGAGTACTTAAATATGGAAAAATACATAAAAAATGTCTTGTTTAATTATGATCATGTACTGGATTCAAACAAATTTATACTACATGTTTTTTTTATTTAAACAACATTTATATGTTATTTATACAAGCCATAAAATTCCTTCTAAAAACCAAACCATCACGACAGCTTATCTTTTGCCTACGACATCACTATATCCAACATAGCAATGGGTAAACAGAATCTTAAATAATTATAAATTTTTAACCTTAATTTAATAATATAAAAATATTTGATCTAAAAGCCTTAAAATAGCAATGAATTCGTTATCGATATATTTATAATGATAACACATTCATTACGATAACAAATTCATTATTGTCATTATATGATGACAACAACAAATTCAAATAATTTCACAAACGATAACTATTCTTCTACATTTTCTATGCACGACACGTCGTCTAGTCTGTATTATAGTTATTCAAAATAATTAATTCAATACTATTTGTACCAGATAGAAGCATACGTGTAATGATTAAACTCAAATACTCTCTAAAATTACGGTAAAACACGTTTTGTCTTATATGTAGCTAGTGTTAACAATGAAAGAAACTTGTGTGCTGTGCTCGTTTTGTTTATTTTTTTATCTCAGTAAGTAGCACCGCGTAATCAGATAAAATAACAAAAATAGCTGCCAGTTCTAATTGAATAATGTAAAATAAAAGCACTTGTTTATGCCAACATAATACTAAAACTAATGTGATTGATCTAGTATTTTTCATAATTGTCATAAATTTTGGGCCGAGAATTAATAATCTTAATTCGCCATTTAAATTTGACAACGAAATGTAATAATATTAAAAAAATAATAATAAAAAATTTGACAGTAAATGTTAGTTTTTAAAAAACTTAATGGACTGTCGATACTAGAGACGAGTATTTTTTTTACAAAGCACAAAAATAAATATTGAATTTGTCTAAATCACTACAATAAAAAATATTTATAAACTGTAATTTGCATTTAAAATTATATTTAAAAGAAATTATATGACGTTAACGCTATTTTTGTAACATTTGTATTCAAAAATTTTAAAATGCAGTACAATAACGATCTTGTACTACAAAGTGTCAAATATAAGACAAAGCGAGTAATTACTGTTAAAAATAATACAGATGTTCCGTAAATCAATATTATTTGACGCACGTGTGCATTTGTAACTGCCTTTATATTGTCCATGCCCCAATATTATTATATTTAAAACAATGAATCGATTTTGAAGTGTGAATTGTGATTTTAACTACTTTAATATAGTTATCTACATCTTTCATAGTAATGTTTAGCTCGATACACGAAATAATATGCCAATCAAACGTGTTTATAACATTTTATTTAATAACAAATTATAGGAAAAAACGTAATTATCACAGCGTGAAAATTATCCATGGTATAGGTGCACATCAGCGTACAGATTCTTTTCTCTTATAAATATTTTTAAACAATAAAAGACATCCCCATGACATACATTATTTTCCAAGTTCCATACGTATAATAGAAATAGTTGTCCCGTGTGGGAATCGAATCGATGACCCCCAGCACCGAAGCCAATGCTTTGGTAATTACCAAGTCATCGAAATTAAACTTTTTTATACTTAGAGTTATGAAATAGTGAAATCAAAAACATATTTTACGTTTTACTTTTTTGGAGGATGCAGTGATACAAGATACTTAAAGAAATTGTTCACAAGCACACATTTATTTCCATGTCATCACCAATTTCTTTAATTAGCTATCTAATGTTAGCTACATTAATACGAAAATGATTAATCAACAAACTACGTATTGTTACCAACTGTTGACAAAAGTACTCATAAAGCAATTTAAAAACCCACAATCGCTTAAAATTCTCCAAACTCAAACCAAAACTTCCTAATTGAGAAAAAAATGGGTAGATTTAGTTTGAAATAACCTTATAAAAACCTTCCATTTTAGACTTTTTTTTACTATATTTTTGGAAGAAAACAGCTAAGTTGGCATCCGTAACTACGCTGTATAAAACTATAGATACTCAATTTATTTTTATTGTAGATCGATTATTGAAATTGTAAAAGTTGTTTAAATGCATTAAATTCGTGAGTGTTGTTTATTTATCTCGAACTGATTTATGTTACATTCATGGTTGCAAATTTTTAGTAAAAATTCGTAATTAGTACGATTAAAGTTTATACTCACAAAATGAGAAATCTGGTATAATATTAATTTATCTCAAACTGATTGCTTAGTTTCGTGGTTGCACATTTTTATATATCAAAAGCCTTGTCGGCCCAAGGTTGTTAGAACCTAACCTAGTCCAGGTTAGGTTCATAGCGAGTCACAGATCCTACCCCTAGAGTGAATATTAAAATGCGGAGCCAGAATCTCGCTCCGACGGATGTAAAATCTAATATTACAAATGTTTTTGTGATATGTTCTTTAAGTATCTTGTATTATATGTATCTTCCAACAAAGTAAAAACGTAAGTATAATATATATAATATTATGATATATATATATATATAATATTATGATAAGTAGGTAATGTCATAGATTTTTACTGTTAACATGTAATTACGGCTACGTTTTTCTAACGTTTAAAAATATTAATTTATATTAGAGTTAAAACCTGTGTCGCTGATACCTACACCTTTACTCTGTCCATTTCAATTTATGTTTTTCTAGGCAACACATGAAGTTTTTGTAGTGACAATTTGGTGCCTGCTGCAAAGTGCATGCAAAATCTAAATCTGTTCTGTGTTTCGCACACTTCCTCCGAACTCCAACGGGGTTATGTATTAAGCAGTCTGAGAATAAGTTTGTACTTGTATAGTTTCCATTAAGCTCACTAAATTTAGATGTTTTGCACAACGCTTAGCAATTGGATACATGGATAGATCGATACTATTTACGTGATTACGATATCATCTTGCTGTTCGTAACTAGCAAAGTGGTTGTATGGCAAATTTTTACGTTGCACTATTGGATTCAGACAGCCGACTGAGGCAGTATAATAAGTGCGTTCCGTCTGTCCGTTTGTCTACAGGTGTGTGATAATGATGTCGTCATCGATTTCGTCCTTCTCGTCGTCTTCCTCTGGCGGTTGCTTTGCAGCCTCAGCCGCTGCCACCGGATTCTCGGCGATTGCCTTGAGGCGACGCGCCTGGAAGTTCGAATTAGATCACGTGATTTGGATTAATGGAGACTGGCAAGGAACTTAAGTGCATGCATAAAGCAAAGCAGTTATTCCATCCGGTCACATAGATGGCATTAATAGTGTAATGGGATTGATCCTAGTTAACGTGGCACCAAATTCCACATTAACATTTCCCATCAGGTTTGATGATAGTTAAACTAGCCTTTAGCCTTAACTTTTTGTTGTGTTGTAAGGAACTTTTATATACGTAAGTTGCAGAGAACAAACACCTAGATCCGAAACAATTATCCATACAACAAGTTGTCCCGTGTGGGATTCGAACCGACGACCTCCGGCGCCCAAGCCAATGCTGCAACGGTAGTTACCAAAGCATTTGGTTCGGCACGGAGTCATCGGAACTTAAACTTTTATATACTTAAACTTTGTTACTACTTAAAGTGTTACGAAAAATCCAAAACACATTTCATCATATATATTAATAACACAATTCGCTGGCGTACAAATGAATAAAAAATTGATATCTCCTCTTCAACGATGGGGATGTAACTGACCTTTCTCTTGTGAAGAATCTCCACGATGATGTAACCGATGAATCCGATGAGGAGAACCACCATCATTACATACAGCTTCATCCTGGCGCACAAATGTGTCGAGTAGGCGTATGCAACAACGAAGCCAGCGCTCTCCCACAGCCTGTAGTTGGAGAAGGCCGCCTCCTTGTTCCGTCGGAACAGCACTCCATATAACCCTGTAAGGGATAAAATCCTTTCACTCCTGTTATGCTAGTGGCGTTGTGAAAGAAACGCAGGTTGTTTGTGGTGCATAACGCAGTGTAAGAATACTGCCTTCTAGGCCTCTTATTCAAGAGCATGCGGTAATAAAAAAACTACCGTAGGAAACATATGCGTGTTAGCCTGTTAGCTTTGGAAAAATATAAATAAGTCTTTCCTCAAAATTTTATACGACAGGCAGACTGTATGGATTCAAACAGACTACTTAATCTATACATATAATAAAAATGTAATTGATCGTTGTTTGTTCATGGAAGACATTTGAGAAAAACTATTATAGGCTGCCTTTATCAACGCAGCAGAACCCAAAACAATGATTGTTAAAATTTTTGTCGAATCTCAGAAACGGCTTAATCGATTTGGGTACAACTTTGCAGTGTAGTAAGCTTCTTTTAAACATTTAGTGTTAGTCTTATTTAAGTCGGTTCATAAATAAAAAAAAGTTATATCAACTTAAAGAACCACATTGAAGATGTGTTCGATAAAATGCTATATAACAGGTACGGTTGCATCGAATGAAACTATAATTAACTATATTGAAAAATTTTTTCGATGTTCACTATAACCGTGTCAGTGTCTTTAAACTTTTTTGACATTTTTTAGTATGAAGAAATATTTCGCGCCTACCCGTTCATTTAATTTAAATATCAGGCAGAGATACCATAAGTTATTTTTATTTTTTGTTTATTTGATACAAATGATTATGTTCTTTAGTTAACATTTATCATTATAAAGCTTTTTAAACTTTATTGTTTTTTTTTACTGCAGTAGCTTTGCCAACCTTTTGCAATTGCCCTATAGAACCTTCGCGACCCCCCAGAGAGTCGCCACCTACACGTTAAAAAATACACTGGCCTAGATTAACCTAAGCCTAATTAAAATTCGAATAAGAAACCATTGTATTAATACTTTACTTCACTAATCATTTCATTGTCTTTAATTGTAGTGTACCCGACCCTTCAATATAAGGAGTTAAGACCTGTACAAGTGTGTGGGTATTTAATGGACGCAAGTGGCTCAAGATCATCCTCCGTGGAGATCTGTGAGGGATGGCTTCGTCCAGCAATGATATTGTCTCAAAATATCGAGATAATATATATCGATATATTTTTTCTACTTGACCATTTCTAGTAATGAGTTAAGTGTTTGAAACGTCACGAATTCTAACGAAAATTGAACGCCTAACAATTAAAGAATTTAGCATAGAGTTGTAGTAGAACTTGTTATTTGATGACAATTACTTGTTTTTGTTAGAGCACGCTTGATTGGTAATTTAACTGATGTCTGTTAAATGTAGCTTTCAAAAATGAGAAGATGAATTAATGTCAAAACAGGGGTTGACAAAGGACCGCTGGTGAACTATGAGTAGGTATTCTGACCGTTGTATGACACAGGCGACTATGAATTATTATTAATGAATTTTTAATTAAAGAAAAAAATATTTTGGCTTAATTTTTTTTTATAAAATACAACTGAAAAGGTTTTACACTAGCTTCAGGTTGAATATGTAAATATTGTTTAAAAAATATCCTCTTAACCCGTTCTACCACTGCTGCAGTGTTAATTCAAAACCGGTCAAGTACACTTTAGGCCTAGCCTTGGCTAAACTTAAAGCGTTAACTCGAGAAATTCCATTTTAAACGATTTATCATATGTTAATTATTTATAGTTCAAGGAAAGCCGTTCGTTAGATAGACCTCTGATGCCGACAGTGTTCAGATGATAAATTAATTAACATTTTCGGAGTCCTTGGTTCCTGTTGGGTATGTACTTGTGTTAACCACAAAATGGTTACTTAGAAATAGATATTGCCATTAATTTGCATTTTGTAAACTGGGTCTATTCTATTTATTGTATTTAATACATCATTTAAATACTTAAACTATAGTAATAATACTTATACTGAGTATAACTAGATATTTTGCTTATATTTTTCAAAGAAAATATTAGTTATTGAAACAAAAATTACTTCTGCTTTATTTTTTTTTTATTTTAACAAAGTAACTCTACAGACTCGTGGTCCGTACTCTTTTTTTTTTTTGGTTAACATGTTTTTTTTTTAATTTTCTTTTTGGGCTGTCACCGCCGCGTACATCAACCGGGCTGGTAGCGGTGCAGCAGTGAGTTCATATTTGTATTTATATATTTTTTATTATTATTATACATATATATAAAATAATTAATATATATATATATTGATCTGCACAGTTTTTGCTGTAGGGAGAAGGGACGGAGATCTCGTCGTCGCAGGTTATTTGGTAATAGGTGTTATTTTTTTGCTAGTCCCTCTGCGACCGCTGCGAAGGTTGTAGTCTCTTATCTTGCAGGTTGATGCCGCCGTGGCTTTTTGGATAAGGCGGCCTGCTGCGTCGTCACAGACGTCTGTGTAGTAAACACAGCTGACCGTGTGCCGGGATACCGCCACTACGGCATGCATAACGATGTCGTGCAGCTGTAGCTTGCTCACTTTTGTACGCATGACAACGACTGACCCGTATGTTAGTCCTTGTGCTTCATGGATGGTGAGAACCCGCGAACCGTTGCCCGATCCATATCCCTGGTTGTTAAGGGCCTCTTTGTCCGCCTGGGTATAGACTAGGAAAAGCGTTTCTGGACGAGTTTTCTGTATTTGCGAGTTGGACTACCTTTCGATACTCAACGAATGCACAAGGGATCTGGAAGAGTATATGCCACTGTATATTTCGTTGAGAGCATATGCTACATCCATCGGGTTCCTATGCGTACACAGCAGTTCCTGACTGACGCCTGCCACTAGGTTTGGGCGAGTGTACTGCATCGAAAAGAGGTTTTCCCTGTCAATGTAGGGGAGTTGGTTGATGTCACCAATCAGCAGGATTTCTTTAGCTTCGCTCAGTCGCATTGCCATCACAATGGCTCCAAAGTGGTTCATAAGGGCTTCGTCAACCATGAGCCGAGTACAGGTCTTCTTCTCTGGCTCTTTGAACCCATTTACCAATACCGAAGCCATTGTGCGCACTTTGGTATTTGCATTGGCGCCGACGCGACTAGCAAGCTTCTCGCGAAGATCCTTCGCCGCCTCTATTGTTGTGGTGATGATCACAACGTCCCTCCCTGTGTCAAAGTTCTTGACGATCCACGTTGTTTTGCCGCAACCGGGAACCCCGTTGATCCATCTAATGTTCGGCACCGTCCAGTCTTTCCAAGGTGCTTCCGGATCTTGTGCTCCCGAGACGGCGTTTGCCATGCTTAGGATTCTGTGGTCCAGCATAACCTTGGTGCATCTAGCAGTGACGACTATCGGGTCGTCGGGAGCGGCTTTAAACGTTGGGTGTCCCGTTTGTTTTGTCCTTTCCTCGTCCAGCTCGACGAAGCCAAGAGACTCGTTATAGGCTGCCATGTGCTGCCTCATGGTTCCCTTTAAAACCTCTGAGGTGGTGTTGTTGTAGATGGCTGCCTCTGCTTCCACTAGTTTTGTTTGGAGAAGACTGTCATTGTTTCTCCTGTATGCTTGCAGAATTTCTCTGCATGTCATTAAGTTGACTTCCCTCGTCGCTCTTGTGAGGGCCTGAAACTCGAGGAAGGCGTTTATTATGTGGTCTCTTGGATCATGTACTGGTCTTAAGATTGGCAGATTTACTTCTCCTTTTTCGGCTCTCGTAAGGGTGGAGTTTGGGCCTATTAGGATAGGATGCTTGGGAGGCTTCTTGGCTGTGGTCGCCTGATGGCTTTCGGTAAAACTTGTTAGCCTTTTCCTCGCGATCCCGGGTAAGCTCTGGGCTGCTGCGCTGAATGTTTTTAAGGCCGCATAGATCTTGTCTCTTGCGTCAGATCTCGCCTGGTTTCTTATTTGGCTTGAGTATTCCCTCGCCGTGGATCTGTCACTGGCTGTTTTTTGTTGTAACCGTTCCGATCCGCTAAGTGATCTTGGATTGGCTATTGGATCACCCCAGCTGTCGACACGAGAAGCCGCCGTTGCCGAGTCGTATTTGCGAAGGAAGCTTAGGTTTTCACCTCTGTCCTCATATACGACTACCTCATGTTTTTCTGAGGCTTTTACGCAACCTATGCAGTCTGCGACCTCCCTCAGTTTTCCACTCTCCCGAGCAAGCTTTCACTACAAGCCGTGACATCCACTATGCTCGAGTAGGTTCTCCCATTCCTATATGTTTCAAACGTAGGCGTTTCACCTGTATTTAGGATCTGCAAGTCCATTTCATTCAGGAAGGTGTTGTACGCCGAACCTCTCGCATCCTCAGTGCTGCTTCCCCACCATTGGCTCCAAGCGTTCACGTCTCCAGCCACGATGATGTTGTTAGTGCTGAGTTTTGCGCAGAATGCTTGGGTACGCCTCAGATAGGGCTCTATGTCTTGATCCCCCTCATAATACACGGACACGATTCCTAACTTCAGATTCCCTGCATACAGGAGGACGCTGCTTCGGTTTCGGTCACTAGCTGTGGGTCGTGTATGACTCTCAACTGGTTGCCAAAAACTATCACAGCGGCTTTCACCGGTTTCCTCCTGTTGAGGGTGCATTGGATGACTCGAATGCCTGGATGTTGCTTGATCACGCCGTTTCTTCCCACATATGGTTCTTGCACAAGGGCGACCGACACTCTTTTGTCCAATGCTGCCTGAAGAAGTTCGGCTGTGGCTGCTTTAGATCTATGCAGATTGGCCTGCAACGACTTTTGCGTAGGTGGACTTTTTAAGTTTCGCATCCCCCGCCTGCGCCAATTCAGTTGCTAAACTTATTGCAGGCGGCGGAGGTGTTTGTTGCCTCGTCTATCGCATAGTCTTTAGCTCCGAGTGCAATGCCTCCAGGTGCTCTGTTAGGGGCTGCAGGTGTTCCTGTAGGTTGTGATTTGTGTCAGATTTATTTTGAGTTGATATTTGTTTAAGAGTGTCACTAACTTCCGAGAGCTGTTTCTCCACCCTGTTTATTTGATCACCATCTTGGGTGGGTTGGGTCGTTATCGTTTCCAGGCGCTGCAGACTTTTGTGGTTTGTCTCAAAGATGTTATTGAGATTTCTTCGCATGTCGTCTATTTGATTGGCCAGCGTTTTCTTCGAAGATCTTATGTCGGTGATATCTTTTGACTCTAGTGTGGTTTTACCTTCCTTTTTCGACTGAGCTAGGGTCCTATGGATTTCCTCAAGCCTTTTTTCTGCGTCCTGCAGCGCCTTTTGTGCTTCTGTGGCCTTTGGAAAGGGTACCCTCGTTTCATATTCCAGCCAACTCCTTACATCCTTGGTCTCCTGCAGATTAGTTTTGATGTCTGTCCTGGCATGGGCGACTTCCGAGGCCAGATCTTTAATAAGCCCCGCCACCAGTTTGTTGTGGGCTCGCTCTACGCGCACTAGTTCCTGAGCGTTTCGAGAGCGCTCCCTCTCTAGGTTTTGTTTGTGACGTGACCTAGAATCTGAGAGTGCCAGGACCATTTCATAGAGGGAATGCAGACAGTCTAATGTGGTCTGCTTGCACTCCCTCTTCATTTTCCCTGCGGATTCCAGGGCCTCCTTACCTCGCAGCAGCATTTCATTGGCCTCTCTGGTCGCCATATCCATCTCTACCCCCAGTCGCTTGCCAGAATTTATAAGTAGGCTTGGTCTACCTACTTCAGATACCGGCGACCCCGGAAAGGATGAGTCATCGTCTGACACAATGGATCTCGGAGGAATGTCCTCCTGTCTCCAGCTCGCGACTATCTCATACGCTGAGTTGGTTGGATCCGGTTGTGTCGAGTGAGCGGAGATGTTGCTCCTTGCAGAGTTATTCGACCATGGGGCAGTGATTTCTGGGAAGGATTTTGCTGTCATTGATGCAGGGTTGGCGGTATCGTCCGGAGCTGATGGATAAACGCTTTGGGGTGGCGGCGTCAACCTGTCGATTTCCGTAGCCTTTTTTAGTAATTTTTCACGCAGCGTTCGCAATGGTCTTGCAGGTGGAATGGATGTGGGAGCAGTTTTCGAAGACGATGAGGTCTCTGCCACTGATGTCTTGAAGGTTGGCTTGTTAGACATTATTACAGACTACTTACAGAGACGGCTTATAAGCTAGAGTTAATCTTATATGTATGTATATATTTATATATATATATATGTTTTTTATTATTATTATTATTATTATTATTACTACTATGTTTTTTTTATTTTTATTATTATTATTTTTTTTATTATTATGAACTCACTGCTGAGGTTTCTGCAGCAGCGGAGTACTTCGACGCGTCGAGAGAGCTGGTCTTCTCAGTGAAAGTGGCTTTTTTCACAAGTTTGTTCCTTGTCCCACGGTTGGGCTGTGGGATGTGGGAAATTTTGAATTCTGTTCGGGCTGGATTGTAGAGCACCTTTTCCTGGTTATAAAGAGTCCAGACTCGGGGGGGGGAGAAGGGAGAGTTTCAAGTGGGGACGTTTGGGAAGATTTGTTCAATTTGGGAGGTGGGTAAGGGGGTGGGGGGTGGGGGGTGGAGGAGTAGGTGGTTGAGTATGTGGAAGGAGACTCGGATTCTGATTCGAATGAGGCCAAAGTCGGGTGGTCAGACGTAAGGGGTCTAGGAGTTCCCTCGGGGCTTATCTGATATGCTGGGGCGGAGGGGCTTTATCGGATTCCTCGGACCGGATGCGAAATTCCCACGTCAGGCTGTTTTGTCGCTCCTCACACTATCTCACCGCGTGGTAACCGCGTGGTCGTTAAGAAACCACGTGTTTTGGGGTTATGTGGGGGAACTTTAGGCGGTTATAACTCCACGAAGACTAGTCCGATGTTCTCCGTTGTTTCGGCACTGGATAGATCTTTCTTGCAGCTGTCTGGTAAATATGTCAGTTTTCGCCTGATGGTCCACTTGTCCTCGCAGCAGGCTGCCGAGATCGTGACACTCGCGCTCCTCTTCCAGGTGAGACACAGAGTTGCCCACAATAATCCTTGTGTAACACACACTAGTGGACTCTTTGATGCAACTTTCACTCGCGTAGCTCAAAAATTGCCGATTTTGGAGCAATTTTTCCGGGGAGCTTATGTTGTTTCTACGGTCTTAAGGCTCGTACTTCTCATCTGCTTTATTTACAATCTTCATCATCATCATCCTCCTCCTCTTATCCCACCTACAACATGTGAATCATGTTGTAAACGGTTTTTATATTTTTACAACCGTTCGCCAGCCTGACGTCAACCCTTCTTGGGAATCAAACGCTTAGATGCGAAGATTCCCTAAAATATTCTTATTTATTTACGTATATATAGTATTCTAATCTTAACATTATTTTATTTCCTTACAACAATTTTATTAATCAATTATAGAAAAGACAAGATTTGTTAAGGTGTATCTATGTAACAAGATGATAAATAAAGCTTATCAAGGCTTATTTATGAGTGGACTACACGCAAAGCTCAGCGCTGCTAATTATAGCATGCCATCTACCAAAGACTACCATGTAGCGTAGTACTTTTATCGGTTTCTATATTTAGAAGGAGGTTTTATGTCCCCAGTAAGAAATCGTCTATCATGATCATGAGTTTATTGCAATGACTTTCCACCGACGGCAGTGCGGTAAACTCAGATGGCCAGTTTGAAAGCTTCGTTAATCATCTTGGTAAAATTGCTTTCCAAAGAACAATGGCGAACTTCCATACATAATTTTATTTCAAATTAAATTGTCGTCGATTAAAAATATATATTATTTAATTTACCAATAGATTATGAACTTTTTTATGCAAGAATTTTGTTTAAAGGAGGCCGAGAATAGGAGATATTCAGTTTTTAAATATTTTTTGGGGGTTATTACTATCACTTCTATTTGTACCAGGGTTGGATTTAGGTGCGGTAAAAAAGATAGTACAAAAAATTTAAAAGGGTAAAATTTGACAAAAACTTATAGTAAAATATAATAATAATAATAATAATAATTAATAAACAAATGAATATCCCCCTATAATAATAATTAATGCACTAAAAATAAGTCATTTTACTCAAACACTCGCAGAAAATTGTTATCTTTTTGAATAAGAATAGAATGCCCGCGTACCGTAAAAAAAAAAAAAAAAAAAAAATTATCGTCCTATTAGATAATTATGAGAGTGCAATGTGCAAAGTGACTATTTGAGAAAGCGGAGAATCGGATGGAAAAAAGTACCATTACCACGGCAAGTCATCGTTAATTGTTCATCAATGACAACTATTCATAATCTATGGTATATAAACGTTTGGTTCATAAACAACTTACTGTTGTTCGATAGAATTACAACGTGATTACAACCGAAAGAACTTTTAATATTGGATTGGCAGTGAATGGTATAATATTGGTCATTTAGGTAAAGTAATCAAATTTTTAAGCTATTGCATAGCTTTTCTCGCGGGATTTGAGCGCAGCGACCGAATCAAGAAATTCTGTAAAGAAAATAAAACCTATATATGATACGACTATAGGAAGCTCGAACGGATGGATGTTATAATATTATAATATATCAAGTATCAAACTTATGTTTATTATTTCAGTTACCATAAACCTACATGTATTGTAAGATAAAAATATTTTAAACGATATTAACTTCTCATTTATTCAATAAAAGAAAAAAAAATGTTTTCTTATCGGTCACCACGCTCAAAAAGTGTAACTTGAATTAATATCAAAGAAAAAAATACAGCATAAATAAAAAATTATAAGTGCATAAGTTGATAAAAAATGCTATGCAATAGCTTTACCGCGACAGTCCCCGAGTGCCATTTTTTACTTTGTTTTTGCGTTTTCGTACTATCCTTAGATATTGATAGTATAAAACTTAGTACTAAAAGAGATTGTATTATAAAGCATAGAAAAATATCTATATATTTCTATTTTTGATTTTATATTTCTATAGTTTTAGTCGATATATTTGGATCCGATATATCGATATCGAAAAAAATATTTAATATTGAAATCGTATCCAAAACTATTAATCAAAAATATTTCATTCAAATTAGAATCCACAACACAGTAATTTTTTTTGGTCAACGGGGCAATAAGAGAAAATATCCATGTAACAATTTTTTCGCTTCGATACATCGATATTTTCTCGTCGATATATCGAGGTCGATAGTGATATTTTTATAATAGATATATCGACATTTCTTCACTCTGGAATGGTAATACGAAAGTAATAATTATTAATCATTTCAATCCATTAAGTATCCTAAATAATAATTTTTTATTTCCGGTTTTAACTCTTTTAAATTATAACTTGATAAAATGTAGATATTTAATTTTGATATTCTTGGTTTTAGTGTCTTTTCTAGACGCTTTAATTTTAGTCAAATAAGATTTCGCCATTGTTCTTTAATAGATATTTAAAGCCATCTAATATTCATTCTTAAATGTTCCTGCTTAGTGACATTGATAAACCATGATGATTGAGCAAACCTATGTAAATAAGAGAAGATTTTTAAATAAATCGTATTCTACATATTCGTTAAACTTTGCTTTTAGAAATATTATCGCAAATGAATTTTGTCCAAATGAGTTGAATACATGGAACTCTAGATAAGAGGATAAAATGATACATTAGCGTTGACGGGTCTAATAATGATCATATCGTTGTTCATAATATATTATCAAGATGTTTTCAAAAGATATATTCTATAAATTATCATTATTCTCGCATGTTTGCTAAATGTAAATATTTTCGAACACATTGATTGCAGTTTTCCTTACGTTCTTTACCTAATCTATTTAGAAATCACCATCTGCACATTGTTTATTTTTTTTAATTGAGATAAATTTTTCGATGGCACTGCCTCACGTCATCACAAATTTATATTGTTACTATATTACTAATCGTTAATATAAAAGGCAAAAATAAATTGTTAAGTACAAATGACAAAATTGTACAATAGTCAAAAAGAAATTAGCTTAAATAAAATTTCAAATCTTTAGAATAGCAACTCGATAGTAATCTTGTTGCAAATTATGCGATTTTAAAATCATCACCAAATCACCAACTTCACTTAGACATGAATTATCAGATTAATGTTGCACTTGTGAGTTCAACTTTGTGCGGTTGGGTTCAGTTTCTCACCCAGGATTTATTGGCAGAAACTGGTTATGGACCGCCCGATGCGAGCTGCTCTTGCCTATAATGTATAAATTCGTCTAACTGAGACTTAAGCTTTGCTAATTACTTTGCGAAAACTTATTTTTCTATTTGATTTTGAATACAATTGAAGTACAATTAAAATATTTTGCTTGTGTCTAAAAGTTGTTAATTACTTTTAATTGTTTTATAACACATATTGCGTTCTTCCATCTTCATTCGCGTTTACCGTACCGCAACGAATGAATGTTAGCTCCCACATTACGTCCGCAAAATTGTTCGCTTAATAACGCATAGCTTTCAACGCCATGCTAATATGCGTTTATTATCTGTGATTTGGTCATTTTATGATCACAGAATTGGACGGCCTCGAACAATGTAGAAGGTTGAATTAATCGACACAGAATGCCGTTACTAGATTTATAAAAAAAAAATACTTCGACGGGACCCTGTGAATACTATAATTTTCACTTGCTTTTTGTCCATCACTGTTATCATTGTTGTGTCTTTTACCACATTGATACTGCCTTTGTGCACAAGTTTGAACGTTTGTATTAAAGCATTTAATCTTCATTGTATCTAGAAGAGATAGTATGAAACAATTTTTTTTTATTTTATCCCAACTAAACCTACATATACAGACCCTTTTAAAGGCCAAACCTTCGCAGAAATATAGAACATATTTAAGAAGAAGAAGTCCTATAAAAAGGCCATGAATGCGTAGAACTCACCGTTTATTTGGGTTTGCCAAACCGCGTCGCCAACTCCCCACAGCCCCGAAATGACAAAGAACACCGTAGGTGATTCTGGGTTGGGCATCCATATTAGAAGCCAAACGACTAAGCCGAGGTGCAAAGCGGCGCCCATCACAAGTATTGGAAACCTTCCTATGTACTTCATAGCGGACCCGAAAAGGAGAGAGCAGAGTGCGTTGACGACACCAAAGCAGATCATCACGTAGCCGATGGAGCGGATTCCGAGGGCACAGGAAACGTAAGCCTAAAACAAGAGGCGTTTTTTAGAATGGTTTCCTTTGGCAGTCAACTTTAGAAAGACAAGGCAATAATCCTGAGTGACATACACATTTAAGATTGGGGACCAAAGCGGAAGTAATATGAGTTTAAGAATCAATTTAACTTAGCAGATTGTTTGATCGAAGTTAAAGCAACGCATTTCATCAAACAATAAGGTATTATTATATGTACGTTAAATATTGATAATATTTAATTTATGTCTTGGCCACTAGATAGTTTAGAGAAAATGTTGTCACTTGTAAACGCCTTGAATGGTATAGTCAATTTGAACTGTTCTGCTAACGGTCGCACCTATTATAAAATGTTGACATTAAAATACATGTAACGGCACATGTACATGATTCGTCGCTAACGGATCTTAAAAAAAAATAACTCGTGTGTTAAGCAAAAATTGTGATGAGTAACGTTCAGCTGAGATCTTGAGCCGAGATACAAGGTACCTTGTCGAAGTCAAGATCTTAACAACGATTACATAAGTTTTATAGGACGGAGCTCACTTAACATTACCTGCGTGTAATCAGCACCGATGAACGCTTGTTCCATTCCTATCCATAAAGTTATTGGAATAAGTAGTTGTTGATTCGGTTTCTTCAGTTGGTATGCGGTGGCCGACAAGAGTTGTATTCCTGTCAGCTCTTTGGACGGATCAGCCTTCCTCTGCTTTTCGCCGTACCTTAAATTTTTACACTAATTATTAATATATTTTTAATGACATTTTAAACAGTTTATATTTTGATATTATTTGCTAAATACCAATTATACCATTTTCGTTTTAAATTACGTCACCTAAACATCGCTGCTAGGGTAGCATTTATTTATTTTCAGCAATGTGTTACTATGTGTCTTCGAGATGGTGTTTTAAATTACTCGATGCTCCCCGTTGCGACTCGATTCCGAACGGAGGCATTGACTCTGGGAGATGATTTGGAATCGTGAGATAAAAAAAGCATCCGCGTACGCCTCTATGCTTGATAAAACATCAATCAATGCTTTGCAAAAAAATTACGAAATTGACGTCGCACTAAACGAGATTTTAGTTATTGCGTATCACGGTTTAAAGATATAAATATTAAAGAATTAAATAAATTTGCTAAAAGATTGGAAACTAACTTCCTTGCCGGAGGAATAATTCCGACCATATTAAAATAAATAAATAAAAATCTCATCGCCTATTACCTCGACAGAGGATCGACCAGGAAAGCGACCATCAGAACGGCTACGGCAACGCATGCAAGATATATGGCACTGATTTCATATATCTCGCTGTCCGGCGGCCGGTGGAGGTTCCTATTGTCGTGGTGGCCACCACCTATCATGCAGAAATTGGCACCGCACGAAAGCACAGTGCTGCTGGTGTTGTCCTTAGATCCACTGCCACTGTGCACTCCGGAAGAGAACACTGCATCAAAGGCAAGGGATTAGTTATTTTGTGACAAACCTTATAATAATATGGGTATAATTAATTATATATGAAAGGTAATCTAAAGGTTAAATAAGTATTAATTATTAATATTATTATTATATTATAATATTACATTATAATATTATTTTATAACATTATATTATGGTATGGTCAGAATTTGGTCAAGAAATGACACGGTAAAAAGGTCATGTTAGGTAAAAAGGTGAATTGTTGATATATTTCCTTACCGAGACTGGAAATAAGGTTGCCCCATAGCTCGGCGGTTTGCCAAGCCAGGAAAAAGAATCCGAAGAATCGGACGATTATACCGTCCACTGCTTGGTCCGTTAATTTGGCATAAACGCTACCAGCTTGCGTAAGGTACGTGGCCTTGGAGGTCCACATAGGGGCCGCTCCTAAGCCTACCACCACACCCGCGGGCACCAGCGTGTAGAATGCTGGATAGAACTGCGCCCCGATGTAAGGCGCATAGCATAGCATGGATAAGCAGAGGGTCCACTTGACCGTTAGCCTCTTGATTAGGAAAGTGGGAACAAATATGCAGGATACTACGAGAGCTGCGTAAATCGAGCTCAGCGACACCGTTCCCAGGCCGTCGGCGGCGTTGATAGACGATTGTAGGTTCGCCGTGCCCTGGAAGGCGGTGAACTGCACCATGAAAGCGGCGCTCACTGCTGCGACGTTCTTCAATATCCTCCATTTCTCATTCCTTGAGAGTTTCACCTTCCCGGAGGCGTATGAGTCATCCTCGGTGGGCAGCGGTGGCGGTTTGACGATGTCGTCGTTTGAGTCCCGGTCATGCTGGTAAGCATCGTTTTTGAATCCTGTTTTAATCGTGTATACGGATTCCTTATCCGGGCGGTCGTCCTCACAGCCGCCTCCGTGCGTTGCAGTCATGCCGTGTTACCTCCTAGTCCCCTGAGGAATGGGAAATTGTTGATTAGAAACTATTTATTTCACAAATAAAGTGCTAAAAAGAGATTTCAATTTGATGTGTGGATATAAGTAGTTGAGATTTAAACGGAATCATTCAAGTGGATTACTTATAAAACATAATGTACGTGAAAAATGGGACATTAATATAATCGCGGAATATAATTAAAAATGACATTTATCATAAACAAGGCTTTTTGCGTATTGTAAGTGTCTATATTCATTTTTAATAGTTATTAATATTCTTATAGTCTAAAGAGGCTTCTAATTTGTATCTCCGCGTTTTAAGACATTTGGAATCGGTAGTCGGATTGGTAAGAGTTTTGTAACACATGAATAAAAAAAAAACCCAAAAAATGCGAGTAGGACTTGGGCACGAAGGGTTTCGCACTATACACATCTATAGAAACAGCAAAAAATCATGTCTGTTGTACAGGAGCCCCACCAAAATATTTTTTATTCTGTCTTTTAGTATTTGTTGTTATAGCGGCAATAGAAATACATCATCTGTGAAGGTTTCAACGGTCTAACTATTACGGTTCATGAGCCTAGCGACAGATGGACAGAAAGACGGACAGACCGACAGCGAAATTTTATCTTATCCTGCTTAATCCTTTAAGTACGGAACCTTAAAAAAACAAGAAAATGTATTATCTACGCAACTAAGAATATGACGATGGTATCGCTTATACCACAAAATGTCTTTAATAACTTAGGAAAACATTAGAAGAAATTGAAGAAACCAAAATACCGCAAAAAAGTATAATATTTTGGAAAAAGAACTGATAAACTTAAATAAATCGAGAACTAAAAAAAAGAAGAAAAATAATTTACGAGAAGAAACTATAAACCTAATGGAAGAGAGGAACAAAATATTATAATAGACAAACGAAAAGACATTTAAACATTTTAAGTATTAGTAAAGAATATAAACATCAATCACAGAAAAGCAGACAGACTAAAAGTATTAAGCAAATAGAGAAAACAGGCGTAATCAAGAAAGGTCTAAAAAACTAATGGAATACATATAATGGATACCTAAAATGAAAGCTAAGATAAAAAAATCTGATATTGATGAAATTATACATGAAGACAGAGCAATACCAGTATATGAAGAAAAAGAGGTATGCAAGGAAGTAATACCTGAAAAATCAAATTCAAAAGTTATAAAACACAAAGAAGTATGAAAATACTAAAGGGATTTGAAACTGCATCATCTAAACGTGTGTCCAATCTATTTAATAAAATAATAGCTACTGAACAAATATCTACTCAGTAGGTAAAATCCACTATTCTCCTGCTACATAAAAATGAAGACAAATTTAAATTTTTCTAAAATAATACTCGAGCGAATAACGAAACATCTAGAAGAAACCAACGAAGAGAACAAGCGGGATTCCAAAATGAATTTTGGAATTTATTTTATATATATATATATATTCAGAAATATAGAATGGGGAGATTTTGGAATTAATATTAACGAATAAAATTTGAATTACCTAATATTTGCTGATGACATGAAAGTAGGAAAGCAGGTCTATCAATGAACTCAACTAAGACTAAAGTAATGACGAATGATTTAAGGAAAAACATGGAAAAAGGACATGATGTTTTTGAATATGTAGATGAATATTTAAGAATATTGTTGTTATAAGTATGATATAAGTTCAAAACTTTAATATGGTCACTAAATAAAGATTTTATGTAACTAATAACTCCCCAGTAAAACTCAGGAAGTAAGGTATTTAAAGTCGATACAAGTTTAAACTATTCAAAATAGCGCCCGCGAGGCCTCAGTGTTAGAAAAGTAACAGCCAGTAATGTCCCACTACTGAGCTGAAATCAATCCGCTGCGTAATACACATGTTTCGGCGTAGTGATGTTCAGCGAGGAAGCTCTGTGACAATCGCAATTGGTTTCGGCGCGGACGTCACAATGGGAGGTATCGGCTGAGTACATACGGCACCTTTGTGATCGTCGTTTCGCAAACTCTTTCGTCATGATGTAATGGCCGCTCTATGGAAACATGCGGTTGGAGAAAATTGCGTCCAAATCAATGTTTTTTGCGGTCACACGTTTCACCATTTTGCCCCGTTACGAAACTAGATCTTGTTATTGAAATTTGAACAAGCACTCTTGTGCTACGACACAGTACTTCGCTACAGCTTTTTATAGCTAAGGAATAAATGTACAGGCATACTTTGTTAGAAATTGCTTTTAATTACTCCACTTAGGGCCTAGCTCTGTTTCGGCATGAATTGTCCTCGAACGACTCGTTCGTCGCTTGACATGTGCTGACAAAAAGGCTTTAACCGGTCATCAAAACAGTAAAAAAACTAAGTTATGAAAACCGGGCGATCAGAGAGGATATTTGTTAAGTAAGTTTTCATGACATTTATAGATTATTCAATTTCATTTTAAATATTGCATTGATGACACACAATAAATGGCCTCCGGTAACGCGCTGTTGAATGTAGTTTTATTCCACAGTGACGGTACGTGATCAAAGTACTTATGCGTGTTAAAACTGCCATTGTGGACTAGAAAGGGCAAAATATAATTAAAAGGATACTGATTCGTTGTTGCTTAAGGCTATGCCGAAACAGCAACGAGCATCTCCCGAACAAGTACAGATCCAAATTAGAGCTGCCTATGGCATCTGAATGCTCTATTGTGTAAACTTTAGATATTAAATTTCGCAAATGAAGCGTTACCAGAAATAATATTTTAAAGCTATTGCATAGCTTTTATCGCGGGCTTTGAGCGCGGCGACCTAATCAAGAAATTCCGTAATGAAAATAAAACCTATCACCACCGACTCCACCTACCATCTAAGAGGAAAGATTTGATTGTTTGTATGCATTGAATATGCTCCGAAAGTACTGAACCGATTTGAAAACTTCTGTCTCTGTTGGGAAGCTACATTATCCCCGGATGACATAGGCTATATTTTATTTTCACAAAAACTAGGGATCCTTACTAAAATTTCTATAATGTAACGTAAAGTGTACAAAAAATACTTAAATTATTCTTTACATCGCGTGCGCTGCAAAAACTATTGATGATAGAATAAAATAATGTACTACGAATTTGCAGAACACATTATTATTTACAAAAAGTGTCTGGACAGCATATGTCTAACTATTGTAGTAATGGCACAATAAGTGTTCTTTTATTATAAAATTTTGATGGAAATGCCGCCGCTAGAAAAGGCTCTTTATATTTTGTATCTTGGTATTAATGCTTATAAAAATAATTTACTTCATATTTATGACTGTTTCAATATGTTTATATAACTTTTTGAATTATTAAATTCGGACATTTCATTCGCAAGATATCACAAGTTTAAAAATGTTAGTATATTGTAATTTAACTATCCAAACAGCTTAGTGACTGACTTAGTAGTTCTTATCAGTTTTGTAAACAATATAAATAAAATATATTTCATTAATTATAATATACATTAATAATTATATTATTAAAAATATTATTATATTTTAATATAAATGTAAATATCAAAAAAAATACTGCATAAATAAAAAATAATTAAATAATTATAATTGCATAAGTTGATAAAAGATGCTATGCAATAGCTTTACCGCGGCAGTCCCCGAGTGGCACAGATTTTTTTTTGTATGTATTTATCAGTTTGGTACCAGACAACAGGACGATATTCTGAAATCTGATGGTCAATTAGGAATGAAATTGAGTTTGTACTCTAAGTTTTATCTTTTCTTTTGTTGGTACAGGGCACCGATTAAATTGCCGAACATCAGATCAGATTCAAAATTGTAAAAAAATATCTTCTATGAACCTGTGCTGCTTCCCCGGACTCGCCGGTCGGTGATTAGAAGAATATTCATATTCTTTTAAAGGATCTGCTAACACTTATAGGGAGTTTAGGATTAGGTTTTGTTGTTAGTTCCAACCTAAATTGTGGAAAAAAATTCGGTACTAGTTACTACTAGATACTAGTTTTCGCCTAGACCCTCTTACAACTGAGCTAAGCGGCCCATGTCATCCCTTTGCGTTTGTTTTTGCCCGACTGTCGGAATGATAATTATGTATGTATAATATGAACTAACTACATCATTGTTTCGTCGACAAAAAGTAATTCAGTGTGGGCATGTATAATGAAATCCCACACTTGATATTAAGTCTGCTATTGGACCATTTTAAACGCAGAATTAAAAATGAACTTATGGCTAAAGCCATTGCGAAATATTTTGACGACGTCAATGTGTGGAGTTAATTCTGTCGATACTTACATAGGCTAAAATAAGAATATTATACACATGTAATATTGTTACCTGTTTTTTTTTTAAAAAAAGAACAACTGTTGAGTTTTTTATCGGTCTTTTCTCAACAGAAACTGCCTTCCGAATCGGTGGCAACTTACGAATTTATATATTAATTATTATGTAAAATTAGATGTTTCGTCGAAGACCGCGCAAGCGTCTATTTGAATAAAGATATTTTGAATTTAAATTAATTTCGTTAATTCATATGCATTTAGTTGTGGTTTCTCATCTAATCAATGTGCAAAGTGCATTTCTTATCCGACTGTATTCGAGCTCATCGAGTACTAAATTAAAGTGAACATTACCTTTCTAGTGACGATTTACAAAACAAGATCAATAATTTATACCCTTAATTTATATGGTAAGTGATTTTTCTTGCCTTTAACTTGAGTAGAGTTTTAATTGCTGACTACTGAATACAATTATTTGTTCCCACGGCATAGTTGCTAACTAAGATAATTGAATGTAGATTATTTGAGTTTTTTTATGTAAGAACTTGGCAACCGACTTGGCGGTTCACCTGGTGTTAAGTGATAACCGCCGCTCACTGACACTTGTACGACCCATAGAGTTGCAGATGCGTTGTCACCTTAAGTGGGCCCCGGCTACCTCACTCATCAGATGCACTCTCGAAACGCAGTAGTGTAACACTTTCACCTCACGCCGGTCTTCTGTGAGGTCGTG